AAAAATTTTGCTGGGATTTTGATGGGCATTGCTTTGAATCTGTAGATTGGTTTTGGTAAAATTGCCATAAAATGCTTGTCTTACAACAAGCATGAGGATCTGAATTAGATCTCAGCCAGGCACAATGGTGCACAGTTGTAACCCCAGTACTGAGGAAGGAGAGAGAAGAGGATCCTGGAGCTTACAGGCCACCCAGCATGGATGGATCAGTGCATAACTATTAGAAGTGAGAGAGCTTGCCTGAGAAAACAAGGTGGACAGCACCTGAAGAATGAAATGTCAACGAAGGTCCTGTTTTCCTAAAGTGCTGAATATATATTTCAAGTGTGTCCTGTTTTAGTTTTGCTATGCTGTTGTTGTTGTTTTGAGACAGCTTCTCTTTCTGACTGTTCAGTAACTCACTCTGTAGACCAGGGTGGCCTCAAACTCATAGAGATCCACCTGCCTCTGCCTCCGAGTGCTGAGACTAAAGTCGTGCGCCACCAAGTCTGACTGCAGTATGCCCTGTAAAAGACTTCCAGGTTGCAGTCCTAGCAGCAGTGAGGCAGACTTGTCTTGAGATCACTGTCAGCATTCTCTTGAAGTACCTATCACTTGGTTTTTACTGTGTCAGAAGACATTTGTCACTTCAAATGTAAAAAAAAATGTAGCTTGATTTTTAGTGAAGTTGGACTCCTCCCCCCGCCCTCCCCTTCCCGGGGTTGCCTTCTTCCATGACTTGTCTTTATGTCTTAGCCATCTGCCCTTCGTGTTTCTGGATACTGGAATCAGTGCTGTTTCCATGCTTGTGCCCTGTAACTGTGATGAGGACAGAAGGTGAGACTAGGGGAGCTGTGAGCTTGAGTGGCCGGCTACCTGACCTGGCGCTTAAAGCACCCACCTGAAAAGTTTAGCCTTTTCTATGAGAAGTCTGCTGGGTGGGTTTACGTTGGTATGTGCAGTGAAAGAACTTGGTTTTCTTTTTCTTAATCTGATTTATCTGGTAGTAGACGTTCTCTAGGTGGCCGAGAGACACTCTTGAGTCTTTTCAAGAAAAAGAGATGCCTTCAGAGTAGAGCAGTTGAAGCAGAAGTGGCTTAGATGGGGATTGGGAGCAGACGTCGAGCTAAGATCAATACTAGTTTACAGCTGATCTGCAGGACTGCCACATACTAATGGTTGTCTTTGTATGTATTTAGTTTTTTAAAAACATAACCAGAAACCTTTTGTGGTCATCTAGGTGATCACAGAGGACCTAATCTCGGTAAAAACTTACAGTCTAAGCAGAAGCTAGATTGAGTGCCCATAAAGGAATAGGTTTGAGAAAAGTTCATGAAAAGTTTGAGGCCGAGGTTAAATTATGTGCTATGTACTTTATTTCTAAATGATCTCCTTTGACTAGACACCAGAAATAAGGTACTATTTGACACTCAGGGATATCTGAATTATTCTGAAATTTTGTTTTTGTGTAGAAATCTTATTTTTTTCTGATGTCAGATTAATGAAACACAGGTTAAATATGACTTTTGCCCTTTTTCAGATTTTTAATCTTTTAGAAAGACATTTTAAAAACAGAGGCAGTAAAGCATTTAAAAATTCTAGCTAGCTCTGATGTTACATGCATGTAATCCTGGCATTTGAGAGGAGGTGGTAGGTGAGTCAGGAGTCGAGGTCAGTTTCTGAACAACACATGACCCTGTCTCAAACAAAAAGAAAAGACTTTTTCTGTCAGTTTGTCTCTTGACTAGGAAACGGAGGCACATGGGAGGCAAATTGCTTAACTGAATAATTAGTGCCTCATTTTAGCTGTAGGGTCACTGTCAGGAGTGGGTGGTTAGCACATCACCTCCATTCTGTCATTGTAGTACACTTACTATCCATAGCATTGGCAATTTTGTACAAGCATTTCAGTTATATTCTGAATTTGACTCATTTACAGTTACTCTAGAACTAGGCATAGCTTTTGATATATTATTAAGTATCTGAGAAAAAAGTGTTTCTGATCTGTGAATTTTTAAAAATTTCATATTTAGGGACAATACAGTTCTCTGTATTGTCTTCTCATTTGCTCAGTAAGTACCTACATGTCTGGTGGTGAGCATTAAATCATTGTAGGACTGGGGGTGTGTCATGGTGGTAAGCATTAAATCATACTCTAGGGCTGGGGATGTAGGTCAGTAATGGGGTGCTGGTATAGCACCCTAGGTATCCAGCACATCAGAAGAAGAAAAGAAAACGTTTATATAGTACTTACTATAGTGATATCAGTATTCAAGGACTGCAGATAAGCTTAATTCATAAGCATGCAGGTTTATGTTGAAGATAAATTCTATATTTATAAAACTTATTTTGGTACAAGATTGATAATAGAGAAATAGAAATCTCTCTTTTGGGGGGACTGGTTTGAATCAGGCTTTCTTTGTGTAGCCCTGGAAATAGCTCTGTATACCAGGCTGGCCTCCAGGTCACAGAAATCTACCTGCCTCTGCCTTCCTAGTGCTGGGATCAAAGGTGTACACTACTACCACCTGGCCAAATATCTCTGTAGAATTGAAATGCCTTTTTACAAATATATGTTCTATAATCTATTTTGTAGAAAATAGGGTTAGCTGTATGAAAAATTCTTAACAGTATTAAAATTGTTATAGTGTAATATCTTTCAAATTATTGTCATAAAAGAATCTGCCCCCTAATTATTTTAATTAGTCTTTTTGAAAAAAGGCATCAACATGTTTCTGTTGCAGTTTAGACTGACTACCTAGCACCTACAGCATATAAAAACATTACAATTAGTATAGTGAAGATCCCTGACCCTCAGTAATTTATTCCTAAAAACATTTGAACCAGTTCCCATCACTGGAGACAGGTGAAATGAAATTCTTTTTAGAGCTCTATATAAGCTTGTAGCTCTAAAGCTTAAAAACTAGCAATAAAAAGAAAGATATAGCCTCTCTTCTGTTGTATTTCTAAGGATGAATTTTTCAATTAAAATAGAATCTTGCCCGTTAGATCTTACAGCAGTAAAAAGTGAGCTGTGTACATAATTTGTTAAAGGACTTTTTTTTTTTTACTAAAAATGTTGCTTTTCTGCTTCAATCTTTAGAACATTTGGTTTGTGCTAAAAGTTTTAGCTGACGAGAGAGAGAGAGAGAGAGAGAGAGAGAGAGAGAGAGAGAGTGTGTGTGTGTAGGTGTAGTGATAATGTCTAACATGGAGGTCCTTGACTTAATCTCCAAACTTAATAACTATTACTTAAATATTACTGGCCCTAAACTAGGACCTTTACATACATTGTCTCACTTAATTTTTATATATTTTTTGAGAAACACTGTAGTCATTTTATGTTTAAGAAAAACCGACACTCAAGAAGTTATATAACGTACACTCAGCCAGGTATGGTCGTTTATGCCTGTTATACCCGTACCAGGGCAACAAAAGTAATGGAATTGGACATTTAGAGCCAGTTTTTACCTATGTAGGAGTTGATGCCAGTCTGGATTACATGTTAGAACCCTGTCTCAAAACACAACTACAGTGTCTTAGGGATTTTATTGCTGTGAAGAGACACCATGACCAGGGTAACTCTTATAAAGGAAAACATTTAATTGGAGTGGCTTACAGTTCAAAGGTTCAGTCCATTATCATCATGAGGGGACATGGTGATGGAGAAGTAGCTGAGAGTCCTGCATCTTGCAGGCAACAGGAAGTGGTCTGAGAATTTGGCAGTGTCTTGAGCATATATGAGACCTCAATGCCCACCTCCACAGTAACATACTTCCTCCAAGAAGGCCATACCTATTCCAGCCAAGACACATGTAATTGTGCCAGTCCCTTTGGTTGCCATTTTATTCAAACCACCACAAACAATAACAAAAATTCCCATAGTAAATACGTGAAGGACCCAGGATTCTTTTTTTTTTTTTACTTTTTTTTTTTTATTGAGAAATGGAGAAAAAAAAAAAACAAGTTTCCACCTCCTCCCAGCCTCCCATTTCCCTCCCCCTCCTCCCCCCCTACGCCCCCTCCTCCCACCCTTCTCCCCCTCCCCCCACTCCTTTCCCCCTCCCTCTCCAGTCCAAAGAGCAGTCAGGGTTTTCTGCCCTGTGGTAAGACCTAGGACCTCCCACCTCCGTCCATATCTAGGAAGGTGAACATCCAAACTGGCTGGGCTCCCACAAAGCCATCACATTACGTAGGATCAAACCCCCGTGCCATTGTCCTTTGCGTCTCATCAGCCCTCATAGTTCGCCATGTTCAGAGAGTCCAGTTTTATCCCATGCTTTTTCAGTCACAGTCCAGCTGGTCTTGGTGAGCTCTCAATAGATCAGCTCCACTGTCTCAGTGGGTGGGTGCACCCCTCGTGGTCCCGACTTCTTTGCTCATGTTCTCCCTCCTTCTGCTCCTCATTGGGACTTTGGGAGCTCAGTCCAGTGCTCCAGTGTGGGTCTCTGTCTCTATCTCCATCCATCACCAGATGAGGTTCTATGCAAGATATTTGTCAGTATTGCTCAAGGATAGGGTCATTTCAGGTTCCCTATTCTCAACTGCCCAAGGAACTAACTGGGGACCTCAGCTTGGGCACCTGGGAGCCCCTCTAGGATCAGGTCTCTTGCCAACCCTAAAGTGGTTCCCTTAACTAAGAATTGTAAGGACCCAGGATTCTAACTGACCTAATTGACTTTCTTACTGCCTGATATATGTTGTTTATGCCATATTGCTTTTCACAGCTGATTCTTATAACAAACTTCTTTGTTTTGACAATCTTTCTTATGCTAGCATAGTTGTATAGATACATACATATGAGATACCAAAGCCTATATGCCAGTATGTTGTACATGTTTCTGGATGCTGAGTTTTGGGTTTTTTAAATTTAAAATGAAATTTTAAATTTTATTTCTATTTATCTGTATGTTTTATAAGCAAAAGCATGTTTTATGTGTAATAAACTTTTTATGATATATGCTAGTTTACTGTAGTTGAGATGTTGTGACTGACTTGCAATATGTATTGCTTATTTATAGGTCAATCAGCCTTATTTCCTCAGTTGAAATTTAGTCACTATGATGTGGTAGTTGGTGTGTTATCAGCTCGAAATAACCATGAACTTCGAAATGTGATAAGAAACACCTGGCTGAAGCATTTGCTGCAGCACCCTACTTTAAGTCAACGGTAGGTTTTCTGAATTACTCTTTGTCTGTTTCAAGAACTGAAAACAAACAAACAAAAAACCCTTAGTTTTAAAAGTCAAGTATTGGGACTGGAGAGATGACTTGATGGTTAAGAGCATTGGCTGTCTTCCTGAGAAGCTAGGTTCAATTCCCAGCAGCTACATGGTGACTCACACCTATCTGTAACTCTAGTTCCAGAGGATCTGATTTCCTTTCTGGTCTGTGTGGGCTCTGCACACATGTGGTTCTCAGACATACATGTAGAGAAAACACTCATACATGTTGAGTGTTGTTTTACTCTTTTGGCTTTTGGGGGGGCCCAACCACCCAGTTCCCAAATAAATCACACAAGGAGGCTTATTTTTAGTTAGGAATGCCCAGCCTTAGCTTGGCTTGTTTCTTGCCAGCTTTTCTTAACTTAAATTATCCCCACTACCTTTTGCATCTGGGCTGTTTCCTTTTTTACTTCTGTATTATCTTACTTACTCTCTTAGTCTGTGACTGGCTGGGTGGCCGGCCAACCGGCCGGCCTCTATCATCCTTGTTCTCTTGCTAATGCTGCTCCTTGTCCTCATTTCTCCTTCTGTTTACTCTCTGCCCCTGCCTCGCTATTGGCATTCAGCTCTTTATTAGACCATCAGGTGTTTCAGTCAGGCAAAGAATCACAGCTTCACAGAGTTAAACAAATACAACGTAAATAAAAGTAACACATCTTTACATCATTAAACAAATGTACCACAGCATACACAAAAGTAACACACCTTAAAATAATATTCCCCAACTCATACATGTAAAATAAATCTTTTTTTAAAAGGAGACACTGATTTAGAAACATGGCCCTTTTGGGAGAAAAGGCGATTTCCTTCTGAATCTTAGAAGTAAGTTTTATCAAGATGTTAAGCCAGAAGGCAATGTTTTCTGGTTGGCACCCTAGATTATTTCAATAACCTCATATTTTCAGTCGTGTAGTATTTTAATGGCATAATGTATGGTGTGTATGGCATGCCATCACAGTCTCTCCTAGCCACCCTCCCAGAACTGGGCTGTGCACTGCCTCCCCTGCTCATAATAGTTGGCCCAGCTGGTGTTCGGGAATGGTTGGGCATGAATGGTTATCGTGGAAAGTGAAAGCAAGAAAAACCAACATAAACTATGATTTTGGTCTGAGCAGTTGATGGCGAGTTCTCGTTGGGCGTGACAGAAAAGACTACTGGAACTTGAGTTCTGGAAATGGTTCTGCGGCCTTTCCCTGGCTATACAGTCATGTACTAAGTGTGAACATCTCTTAAGACTGTGGTGAAGAACTGAGGGGAGAGGCATAGGGCTGAGCTACCTAGGATGGGAAGACATGGAGGCTGTAGCAGAAAAAGTTCTCTTGGGGTTGTAGTAAACAGTCATTTTCTTGGTTGAGGTAAATTGCAGTTGGTAATTTTCTTGTCACTGACAGTGAACATGTATCGATTTCCTATCTTCCTCATGGCAGCTTCCATTCCTCTTCCTGGTAGGTTTCCTTAGTACATGACCGCAACAATAAATCCTGTACCTAGCAAGGAAAGGCCTCAGATCCACCTTGAGAGCTTGACTTCCAGTAGTCTTTGCTGTCATGCCCAGTAAAAACGTGCCACCAACTGCTCAGACCAAAATCATGGTGTTATGTTGTTTCCCTTGCCTTCACTTCCCATGCCAACCAAGCTCATATGTCAGACTTCTCACACCCTTTACCCCTGCCTTCCTTATCTGAATTCTACCTTTTCCTGTCACTTGGATTGTTGCAGAAGTCCCCTGTATGGATTGCTTGCTTTGTCTTGGCCCTATTCCACATTACATTTTCCATATAGCTACCAGACCAGAATGATCCTCTTAAGATTAGTCCAATTTGTTAATTCTCTATTCATAACCTCCATTGATACTCGTGTGTGTGTGTGCTTGCGCACATGTGCGCATGTGCGTGCTCCTGCCTGTTTCTGTTGTCTTCTTTCTCAGAATAAAATCCTATCAGGCATAGATAGGAGGTTAAGGTCATCCTCAGCTGTATACTGAGTTTGATGCTAGTCTTGGCTAATGGCACTTGTCTCTAAATAAATAAATATAGTAAAATAAAAATCCCAAATTATGGTAGTCATTGACCTTGTCTACATCACCTTCTCCTATGTAAGTCAATTTACTGTGTTTTCCTCATGCCCCAGGATTTTTTTTAATGCATACAAAATAATGTTGATTTGTATTATTATAACATTTTCATAAGTTTGTCATTGTACTTTGCTCATACTTACCCTCACCCTCTCATTCTTCCTGTGATTCCATCCTTTTGCTTTCATGTCACACACACACACACACACACACACACACACCTAGATTCTGCATGTGAGAAAAACATATGGTGTCGTCTTTCCCATTCCCCATACCCCTGCTCCCAATGTTGACTATTCAGGCTTCCTCTTCAGAGGCCTTGCCCTCGCTTGGACCACCTTTTCACTGAATGTCTTCATGGTAGCCTTCCTTCAGGGCTCTGGTAGATGTTACCTTAGCACACAGTCTCATATTAAATAGCACTCTGCTTCTTTTCTCCCGTCTTCCCTTGCTCGACTTTATTATTACACACATTACCAACTAGCGTGTGTAATACATTTATTTCTAAGTTATTCATCATTCCCCACTAGGAAGTAGGCTGTTTGTTTTTTGTTTTCTGTACTGATAGAATTCTAGTATCTATAACCTGTCCTCTCCATGAGTGAGGTACTCAACAATGAAGACCTCAGAACTAAAAATAATCAGTATAATTTATAGCAGTAATTCATTTGCCTTTGTAGCAGTTATTTAAATGTAGTAAGCTTGTGTTTGTTTTTCTGAAGATAATGGATTGTCTACATAAGTACAGATTGAAGCCCAAAAATAACTTTCTAGGGCGTAATAGTTATATGGATTTAGTAAGGTTATTTAAGATAGCTAAAAAAAAAAATGGTGAGTATATGTAATTTAGTTACCATATTCACTCATGTCTGTATGTACCTTTATTACAAATGCTAATTGTCTACCTAGGTGTTCCGCCCAGCTGCCCAGTAGAAAGAGATGGTGCATTCTGTGGTTATGGCATTCTTTGATAACTGTTTTTCTAAAGGAGTCACACTCAGCTTTATTTATGAGGACTGTGCTTGGTTCTAAGCCTCTGTGATAGGCTGTAATTTGTCACTTTAATGCATTTATTCTAAGCAGGTCATGCACAATGTGTGTTAAAACACAAAGGTGCAGTAGAGCTGGAGTCTAGGGGCCTTGGACATAGAACTAGGTTTCGTTGTGCAGTGTAGATACAATGGAGAGACCTGTAAAACAGCCTGGGATGGGACTAGAGAGCTGGCTCAGCAGTTAGGAATGCTGTTCTTCCAGAGGAACTAACTCTTGTAGACCAGGTTGGCCTCAGACTCACGAACTCACAGAGATCCACCTGCCTCTGCCTCCCGAGTGCTGGGATTAAAGATGTGCACTGCCACTACCTGGCCAAAAAAAAAAATCTTTAAAATAGCCTGGGGTACTTGAGAAACATCAGTCATATGTAACCTGGGGGCTGTTGAAAGTGTTAGAGCAGGGGGCACCTAGGAAAGAAGGAGAGAGGGGGAAGACTGTAAGGGAGGGGGAAAGAAGAAAGGCCTGTGGCTGTAAGAGGTCAGCAGGACCTGTTCAGACCAGGACTTCTGAGGAGTGTGACTCCTGAGCAGTGATGTCATCAGAGGATGTGGGAGGCCGACTGTCTGATGTGGAGAGCTGTGAAGTCCCCAGTCAAGGTGCTGAGTACTGGACAGGAAGCTCAGCAGAGCATGTGTTTGAGCTCAGGTGCCCACAGGCTGGAGTGTCCTCTGGAAATGGTTATTGAGTGGTTCCTAAAAGAGGCTGCTCATATTTATATTTCATAATTTTATTGATAGAAAGATGTAGCACATAGTTGATAGGTAATAACATTCATGCAGTACTCTATAAAGTTAGTCAATTCTATTTGGCCAGCTAATTCTCATAGAATGCTTCTGGTTTGCCAGGATATTAGATCTGTAACAAACTTATTCTGGAATTAGCAGAGGCATATCGCTCTGAGGTAAATATTTCACGTTAAAGAATAAGACTTAAGGTTGGAGATATGGCTCAGCAAGTACCTACCTATATGCTCTTCCAGAGAACCTAGGTTGAGTTACCAGCACCAGCATGGCAGCTCACAACTGTCTGTAACTCCAGTCCCAGGGGACCCACTACCCTCTTCTGATCTCCATGAGAATGCACGCATATGGCCCATGAGTGTACATACAGGCAAAACATCCCTACACATAAGAAGTAAAATGGTCAAAAAAAAAGTTTGAAAGTAAGACTAAAGTGTTTACTAAGATATCTCAGTACTTTATTCTCAATCAATGAAGTCAGTGACTTTGAATCAGGTAATAGTTTTTGGACATTCAAAAAGTACTATTCACACAGTAGCGACTGAACATCTATTATACTTAGTTTTAATCTGCGTTACTAACATGAGGTGGGAGAGTCATCTGTCTATGTGTTAATTTCATTGGTTAATAAAGAAACTGCCTTGGCCCTTTAATAGGACAGAAAATTAGGTAGGCGGAGTAGACAGACAAAATGCTGGGAGAAAGAAGCCGAGTCAGTCGCCATGACTCTCCCACCCAACACAGACGCAGGTTAAGATTTTTCCTGGTAAGCCACACCTCGTGGGGCTACACAGATTATTAAAAATGGGTTAATCGAGATGTGAGAGTTAGCCAATAAGAGGCTGGAACTAATGGGCCAGGCAGTGTTCAAAAGAATACAGTTTCCGTGTAATTATTTCGGGTAAAGCTAGCCGTGCGGAGCTGGGCTGGAACGCAGCTCCCTACAACACTAACATTTTCTTATACTTTCAGGATAGACAAACAGTGATACAAAAAGTCTAGTCCTTTTTTATATTATTATTTGTTTCTGTGGTTTAAATACTTTCTCCAAGAATAATTTCAAACGAAAAGATATATACCATATACCGTAAATATTCTATCAAACAGATAAAGATATATACCGTATACCATAGATATTCTATCACACAGATAAAGATATATACCGTATACCATAGATATTCTATCAAACAGATAAAGATATATACCGTATACCATAGATATTCTATCAAACAGATAAAAGATATATAAAGATATATACCGTATACCATAGATATTCTATCAAACAGATAAAGATATATGAAGATATATACCGTATACCATAGATATTCTATCACACAGATAAAGATATATACCGTATACCATAAATATTCTATCAAACAGATAAAGATATATAAAGATATATACCGTATACCATAGATATTCTATCACACAGATAAAGATATATAAAGATATATACCGTATACCATAGATATTCTATCACACAGATAAAGATATATACCGTATACCATAAATATTCTATCAAACAGATAAAAGGATGGGGAGCTTGTTTTAAATATATGTTTCTGTAGTTTAATAAAGACTCAACCATTTACAAAATTCCTGAAAATTTGACAACTAGCTCTCATAATCCAGCACTTAAGAACTCTGCTTCCTGTGGGTATTCTAGACGCCAAAGAACTTGAGGATTGATTGCTCCAAGGATGAGTCTACACTAGATATGCTAGCTCAAGAATCATTCTTGTGCCAGTTACAGCCTTAGGAATAAACTAGTGTTTTCAGAGGACAGGGAGTAAGAAGAATGAGCAGACCAAGAAGAGATGAAGAGCAAAACCTTGGGTAACAAGTCACAGGTTACCAGTGACACAAGGTGGGAGCAGCAGGGACCTCCTCTTAGAAGTACTAGTCCAGCAAGAGAAAAGGAAACTTCCAAATGCAGTTTCTGAGAAGCTGATATTAAAGTTAGAGAATAGTCTCAAAGGTCTGAAATGAGCGCGAGGAAATGGCTCTATGAAGTGAATCTATAACTGACATTAATTCTCCATCTCTCAGTGTGCTTGTGAAGTTCATAATAGGTGCTCGTGGCTGTGAAGTGCCTGTGGAGGACAGGGAGGATCCTTACTCCTGCCGGCTGCTCAACATCACCAACCCAGGTGCGTTGTCCTTCAGGCTGCTATCTATGTTTGCTGTCAAGTAAAAGGTGCTATTTTTAACCAACTAAATATTTGTCATCAAAATTTGTATTCCAGCCTTTTTGACAGATGGACTAGTCACTCAGGGAGTCTCTGGGATTTCTTTACTGACAAAGAATTTCAGGGCTGACCGGTATATTCTTCAGTATGACTTAGTGCATCTAGAGAATTAGGTTACTCATAGGTGGCTGAATATTGAACTTTTGGAAAATGTTGACTTTACCAATTAATAAAAACTATGATATAAATATTGTGAGTTGACTTTGATTTTGAATTATTGCTAAAATCAAGTGTAACTAGATGTTTCTCTCCCACCCACCAGTTTCTGAATAACCACTCAGAAGCTTAATATTAATTATAAATGTTTGGCCAATAGCTCAGGCTTATTACTAGCTGGCTCTAACATTTAAATTAACCCATTTCTATTAATGTGTTGTCATGTGACCCGTGGCTCACTGGTGCTGTGGCATGTTGCTTCTTGGGTAGATGCTGGTGTCTCCCAGACTCTGCCCTTTTTCACCTGTATCTCTGCTTGGATTTCTCGCCTGTCTCTGTCTTGCCTTGCCATAGGCCAATGCACCTTTATGAACAACACATGTTCATAGTGTGTAAAAGGTATTCCACAGCAACCAGGTGATGTGGCACATGCCTAGAATCCCACCATTGGGGAACTGTTGAAATACGGAGCGGCGGGCTGTGTCCCACCACCCGGCTAGCTTTACCCGAAATAATTACACGGAAACTGTATTCTTTTAAACACTGCCTGACCCATTAGTTTTAGTTTCTTATTGGCTAGCTTTTACATATTGATCTAACCCATTTCTATTAATCTGTGTAGCCCACGAGCTGGCTTACCAGGAATGATCTTAACCTGCGTCTGTCTGGAGTAGGAGAACCATGGCGACTCCCTGACTCAGCTTCTTTCTCCCAGCATTCCGTTCTGTTTACTCCGCCTACCTAAGGGTTGGCCTATCAAATGGGTCTAGGCAGTTTCTTTATTAATAAGAAATCACTCCCACATCAGGGAACCAGAAGTGGGAAGATCACTTCTGCTAGGAATCAGCCTGGGTGATATATCAAGAACACGCAAAAAAAAAAAAAAAAAAAAAAAAAAAAAATTAAGAGGTTAAAAGTCACGGGCTATTGACTAAGCTTCTGCAAACGAAACAAGAAAATGTTTGAATTACTAAAAGTTATTTTATATTCCTTAGAATTAAGTTTGTGATAATCTGGATAAGGCTGCAGAAAGCTGATGCTAATGGGGGGGGGGGTTCCATGTTGTCAGGGAGGCTGTTAGTACATTATTAGCATTCCCATGGTGTTCGGCTGCAGTTCTAAAGGAGGCTTCCAAATCTGTCGGGTGTGCTGGTCTGTTTTAAAGTTTATCAGTCTTCACAGTTACATGTATCTCACTTTTTGAGGTGTGATCATACGTAGGGCTGAAAATCTGTGGCTCTAAAGCCAGCTCTGTCATGTTAGCTCTGTGGCCTCCTGAGTCTGCATTTCATCTCTGTAAGCAAGTAATAAAGTGTGTAATTGCGCATGCCTTTAATTGCAGCCTTTGGGAGGCAGGAATATTGCCATAAGTTTGAGATCGACGTGCCTACAAAATGAGCTCCAGGTCAGCCTGATCTACAGAGTGCTATTTAAAAAAAAGGAAGGAAGAAAAGAAAGAAAAGTAGTCTCGTGGAGACTAGCACAGGGTGAAGTAAATGATAGAACATTTAGTGTAGGTTCTGGAACTCCATAGATAATTTTATACTAAGGAGCCTGCCTTTTTCATAGATTGGATTTCAGCCCACTTTTTCAATAAATTGAGCATATATTCTAGTCTTTATCATGAGGTTTGTAGAGAAAATTGTACATATATTTGTGTTCTTCTGAGGAGAGGTTCCATTAGCTTTTAGTAGAGAGCATAGGATCGTAACCTCACCAGATGTGTTGTTACTAATGTAGCAGCTTACAGAAATCAAAACAGGACAGCCACATACAGAAACATTACACAGGGCATGTCTGCCTAGCAGTATGCAGCCCTGCTCCCATCCCCAGCACTTGGTACCTGGAACTTACCATCTTAATTGCTTATTGATAGTGGAGGGGTAAATGCTCCATTAATAGGACACTTTCATCCTTTATTACATAGTTTTTAAAACTGCACTGTTTAGGCATATCTTATTACCCCCTGAGCATTTGGGTTATTTCAGTATCTAAAGGTCATGAACATTAATCCTGCTGCAGTATGTCTAGAAGGTTTGATTAATGGCTGCTGTCAAAGCAACAAGATTTCCTGCTCCAGGTAGCTTGAACTTAAGGTACATTTGTTTAAGGTAAAGAAAGTCTAAGAATGACTTGACCTCCTGTTTTTAATAGACATGCTTCTTTCTACTTTGGGTGCCTTTTGTCTCCTGAATATACTAAAGAGAAAAACTTGCTGTCATCCAGTCTGGATGCTGACAGTGCTTTCTAGCTCCTCGCAAAAAAATTCTGTCCCTTTTTGCCCTCTCCATCTCATGTCTATTAAGAAGAAGGAGGCAGCATTTCCTGTTAATCTCCTCCATTTTATTGAAGATCTTTTTAAGATACCTTCTAGGGACTAAAGTGAGGGACCTAAATATGTACAAGATAGGGCTATATTCTAGTCTCTGTAAATCAGGGCTGTCTTTCTAAGAATATCAGTGAACTTCGTAAATTCTGTCAAAGCAAAATTTCGTGTTAATTGTGTTATTTTGAGGAGTGTGATCCAGTGGTTTTCAGTGAGCTCTGCAGTGTCAAGAATCAACCTCAGGGCCTTGTGTGTACTGGGCAGGTCAGCTTCACCACTGAATTGGACTCACAGCCCTGATAGCAATGTAGAGACTGGCTACAGTCTGTACATGTGCTTTATAAGTACATGTGTGTACACACATTGATTTTACCTGGTTGGGTCATCAGCAAGGTTTAAAAACTACAGAGAACTTTGTCTTTAAAGTAGGTTTTGTATTTCTCAAACAATTTTTGACAAATAAGCCGTATTATCTAATCTATCCTGATTCTTTTATTGTAATTAGAAAAGTTACTTGAAAAAGAATTATTGGCTGGAGATATTGGCTCTCTGGTATAGTACTTGCTGAACATGAGTGAAGCCCAGGTTCAGTTCCCAGCTCTGGAGAAAAAAAAAAGACAGTTCAGGGAACTGATATAAAAAGAGCTCTGACTTGTGAGTCATGAAACATGAGTCTGATTCCCGATTGCATCACTTTTTGTGATTTGGGGATGCTTACTCAGTGTCCCTTATGGCTATAGAGTCTTACCTGGTAAGTGACATAACGCTCTTCCCAAAAGGGAAGTGGTGTATGTAGATGTGATGGGCAGTGTAGAGTAGGTGCTCAGAGTCTGCTTGATTTACTTATCTGCCATAAATATTTTATAGAAGTTTCTCAGTGTTGTTCAAAGGGATTTCATTTACTCCTATACTGCAGTGGTTTCCATACATACCATAAACTTTCAAATTGCTTAATAGGAAGTAGCATTTTTAAAACTTGCAGGGAAAGATCAAATTTTCTAACCATTTTTACTATACTAAGTACTTTAATAATGTTTAATAGTGTTTATCCAGGCCTTCTGTATAGATACCTTGCAGTTGACTTACATTAAGTATTTGCCTATGGGATGCTGTATGTGTTTGCACATGTGTGTGTGTGCAGAAGTCTGGATTTTATCTGATGACGTAATATCCTATTCTTGTTGCTTGTTTAGTTTTGAATCAAGAAATCGAGGCCTTCAACTTCCCTGAAGATACTTCCTCATCCAGACTCTCTGAAGACCAAGTTGTCAGCGTGAGCTTCCAAGTTCTCTACCCAATTGTGATTACCAGTCTTGGAGTGTTCTATGATGCCAATGACGTTGGTTTTCAGAGGAACATCACAGTCAAGTTGTATCAGGCAGAGCAGGAGGTGTGTATTGGCATGTACAGGATTTTTCCAATTTTTCTTCTTTAGAAACTTTTCCTTGTTGTCCTAAGTAGATTTAAAGGCTGAACCTTCTCCATGGTTGGGTGACTTCCATCTTTCTTCCTGTATTGGTTGAAGTTAAATATGTTGCATTGTAATGCTGGCTTGGGGAGAGATTACCATAGATAGATGAATTATATGTGCAAAAGGAAAAGTTGGACTAGATTAGGAATGCCAAACCTAAATTCCCCATAGCTTCATTAACAAAGGTGTCAGAAACATGAACTGAAGAGAAGACAGTCTTTTCAAAAATGATGCTAATTGTATGGCCACCTGCAAAAGAATAAAATTAGATCCATATCTTTTACCTTGCACAAAAAATCAGTTCAAACTGGATCAGAAACGTTAACCACATGGAGTCTAATTATATATGAAAGCTTGGCCGATAGCGTAGGCTTGTTTCTAACTAGCTCTTATAACTTAAAGTAACCCATGTCTTTTAATCTGCGTTCTTTTATGTGATTTGGTTTCCTTTACTTTGTAATGCTTGTGTTGCTTGCTCTACATCCCTGGTGTCTCCTCCCTTTTGCCCAGCGTTCTCTCTGCCCCCCAGATCCTACCTATTGGCTTTTTAGCTTTTTATTAAACCAGTCACAGTGACACAGTGTAAAGGAATATTTCATAACAGTGGGAGAGCTAAATGCTACTGTAGGACTAGGGAGATAAGAGGGTAGATAATAAGCCAAAATGAAATATGTATGAAAACACCATATGGAAACCTATTACTTTGTTAACTGATAGTTTTCCTTTCCTTTCTTTTTTTTTTTGATGTCTGTCTGCTTACTCTAAGCCTTGTGGGTTTCTGCCTTGTTAGTATTGTCTTTTCTGTTGACATAGGTTTTTCTTTTATGCCTAGCAACTAGTAACTTCAGATACTCTGAATGATCTATTGTGAGACCTCTCAATACATCGTTCAAAGAGAATCCATTTCTCTCTTCATGTTTTGCAGTAGTAAGCAGTTAAGTTGGCTGGAGGATTCTAAACTGTTCTTGCAGTGGACAACAGTTCAAATCCTGCTTGGCTCTTTTTGTTCTTACTTGGGCTGCCTGGGTTCTGCTTCCAATGTGTGTTTCATGGATCAGTCTCAGATTGGGCAGGATTTATGGGAAGAAATTAAAGCTCACCCTTCCTCCTCTCTCCTTCTCCCTTTCCTTTCCCTCCCCCACCTCTGTATGTATGTGTGAGAACTTTCCTTGCTTGTGAGTTTTCCTTGTAACTGTTTTTATCCTGTGTCCTCTGATTTTTTTTTAAGTTGGTATAGAATTGTATCTTTAATGAAGAACACTAAGGGAAGATAGAATAGACCCAGTTTCCCTTTTTCCCATGGTTTGATTCTCTTCCACGTTTTACATGTTTGAATTCCAGTTTCATTCACGTCTTTGTTGTTGTTGCTCACTGGTCTGTTTTTGTTTTTGAGGTGGGACAGCCCAGGTTGCCCTTAAACTTGAAATCCTCTTGTCTTAGCCTCCTAAGTGTTGGATTGCAGGTGGGTATCATCATATCTGGCTAAGATGTTTTTATGTTTTTCCAGGGTTCATCATTGTTATCTATAGATAATAATTGGGCTGCTATTACTAGAAGCTCCTTTTCAATTTTTGTTGACTGTTTGGTTGGTTGAAGTTTTGTTGAAGTCAAACAAGGTCAAGCACAGAACTGTAGTGCCAGTGTTCAGGAGTCAGAGGTAGGAGGATTTCCACAAGTTCAAGGCCCATCTAGTCAATAAAGCTATTTCCAGGCCAGCCAGGGCGATATAGCTAGATCCTCTTTCCTCTCTCTTCCTTCCTATGCCCACTGAGTCCAGTTAGTGCTGATTATGTGAACATGGGCGTTGGGCCATCCGCTGGGGGACCATGGTGGACCGTGGAGAACCTACCAGTGGTCATTCTTTAAAAGAAAAGTGAGTCTCCCTCACAGCTATCAACTTCCAGTAGTTCCACAGTTAAAGGTGGAACCTCAGAACCTCCTCCCTGTCCTGTGATAGAATCTTTTTATTATTATTATTATTTATATTTTATGTGTGAGTACTCTGCATATATACCTGCATGCCAGAAGAGGACATCAGATCCTATTATAGATGGTTGTGATACCACATGGTTGCTGGGAACTGAACCCAGGTCTTCTGGAAGAGCAATCAGTGCTTTTATCTGCTGAGCCATCTCTCCAGCTCTAGCCCCACCCCCACTCTTGTGATAGAATCTTTAACTGACTTGGTCTTGTGCAGGTCTTGTGTCAGTAACCACTGTTGTGAGTTTTGTGTGCAACAGTCATGTCATGTCCGGAGGACAGCGTTTCACAGCATTCTTCCTCATGCTCTGGCTCTTCTGCAGTGTTCCTGAGTTGTCTTTCTTTCCGTCCAGGAATGCTGGCATCATCCTCAAACTCCAGCACTAGGGAAGCTGAGCTAGAAGATCATAAGTATAAGGGCAACCATAATCAAATAATTGTCTTAAAAAATAATAAAATGGGGCTGGAGAGATGGCTTATTGGTTAAGAGCACTGAGTGCTCTTCCAGAGTACCTGGGTTCAATTTCCAGTACCCACATGGCAGCTCACAACTGCCTGTAATACCAGTTCCAGGGAACCCGACACCCCTGGCAAAACACCAATGCACATAGATGGATGGATAGATAGACAGACAGATAGATAAATAGAATTGCTAATGCTGCTAGCAATGTTAATAAAAGATTAAATGTCTGTTTTGCAATTTGTCCTATTTTTACTCCACCTAAAGAATGTCTGGTTTGTGGACTGGAGAAATGGCTAAATGGTTAAGAGCACTAGCTGCTCTTACCAGAAATCCTGAGTTCAATTTCTAGCACCCACATGGTGGCTCACAACCATCTATAACTGTAGCCCTATCTGATGCCTCTTGCACTCCTCTGGTATGCAAATGTACATGTAGGCAAAACACCCATATACATAATTAAATCTTTTTTTAAAAAAAGAATATCTGGTTTGTTAATATGTTGATAGACATAAATTTAAGAGAAAGAAGACACATTATAGTCATGATTTCAGTGGGAATTGCTTTATCCAGTTACTGGATTGTAGCAATCTTATTACTGTGGTAAAAGTTAAAAAAAAAAAAAAGATTTTAAGGAAGGGCTGCAGTGTAGCTCAGTGGTAGAGTACTTACCTAGCATTTGCCTGAAAGACATGGGAAAGCACAAAGAAAAACAGTACACATCCTAAGAGCCGTCCTCTTCTCTTCCCTGTTGTGGTTTGTGTTCTCTTCTGAAAGTACTTTTGAAGGATTCCCATGTACATTGGTTTTCCATAGAGATCTGTGAACTTTCATTTTGTTCTTGGGTATATATGGGGGGATATTAAATATATAAATATTATTAAATATATATTATATATATTAAAATATGTTGGTTCAATTTAGTGAAAACACTCATTTTCTTTAATACATTTCATGCCAAGGTAGGTTTTTAAAGACTATAAATATATAATCTTTAAATCATAGTTTATCTTAATAATTTCTTTTTTTTAATATTTATTTATTTATTATGTATACAATATTCTCCCTGTGTGTATGTCTGCAGGCCAGAAGAGGGCACCAGACCTCATTCCAGATGGTTGTGAGCCACCATGTGGTTGCCGGGAATTGAACTCAGGACCTTTGGAAGAGCAGGCAATGCTCTTAACCACTGAGCCATCTCTCCAGCCCTTATCTTAATAATTTCATTCAGGCCTGGTGGCAAACCAAATCCCAGCTGCTTGGGAAGCTGAGGCAGGAGGATCAAAAGTATCTTAGCAACTCAGCAAGACACTGTCTTAAAAGAGGGCTGTGCCCACTGCAGGTAGTGCAGTGCTTACCTAGATTGCGAAGGGCTGTCAGCTGAATCCCTAGAGCAGTAAAACAGGTAATATAGTAATCTAGTGACCATGGCAACAGCACTAGAAAATCTCAATGGGGCAGTAGAGTGCTTGTTATTCTTGCAGAGGATCTGAATTCAGTTTCCAACACCCACATGATGGCTCACAACTGTCTATCTATAAATTCAGTTTTAGGGAATCTGATGCCCTCTTCTGCATTCTGTGTGTACAAGGCATATATGTGGTACATAAACATACATGCAGGTAAAACACCGGGGAGGCAGAGGCAGGCGGATCCCCGAGTTCAAGGCCAGCCTGGTCTGTAAGAGCTAGTTCCAGGACAGGCTCCAAAGCTACAGAGATACCCTACCTCAAAAAACTAAAACAAAAAACCAAACAAAAACCATAAAATAAATATATTTAAAAAACAAAAAGTAGGGCTGGAGAGATGGCTCAAGTGGTTAAGAGCACTGGCTTCTCTTTCAGAGGACCCAGGTTCAATTCACAGCACCCACATGGCAGCTCACAACTGTCTGTAACTCCAGTTCCAGAGGGTCTGATAGCCTCATACAGACACACATGTCAAAACACCAATGTACATAAAATAAAAATAAGTCATAAAAAGTAAATACCTGAAAGTTGTTGAAACCACAGTGAGTGTGATTGGTGGCTGTGTGAATTTACTGACAAAGCTACACAGTGTCTGAAGATCTGTTACATTTATATATATAACAGGAAAATTGTCTGTTTCTCCGTCCTTCCCTATCCATCTTGCAGGAGGCCCTTTTCGTCGCTCGATTTAGTCCTCCAAGCTGTGGCATACAGGTGAACAAGCTATGGTACAAGCCTGTGGAGCAGTTCATCTTACCAGAGGTATGGCTAGAGTGAAGACCAGTGTTGCCTTTGTAGGTGTGTGCTTTGTTGTACCATGTCAGCTCTACAGTGTGGAAGCAGCAGTACCCACAAAGCTTGCACTAAATTTTGCAGTTTACACCAAGAGAACTTCTTAGCCATGGTTTTTAAAAGTGCCTGTTGCCATGGTTAACTTAAAGTTGAGAACTGTGTGACTGTCTCAGTGACAAAGGGTAGGATTAAGTCTTAGAAACAGTAGGTATTTTGAAAGTTAAATGTCTTACTTATCTAAGGAATCGTAAAGAAGTCTGCTGTGGGGTATTGTGATCATGCTCTGACACCCCCGAGACCGCCGATCTCCACTTAAACCTCGCTCAGCCAGGAGCGTGATTCCTCTTCTGTGAAAGAGGAATCATATCAACCTACAGGCAGTTTCCTGGGAATCTTCCCCGCTTCCAAGCAGAGGACAGGGTTCGTCACCATGGTGGGCAGAGAAGTATCTGCTCTACCTTAGATCCCTCCTCTCCTCAGCCTGGTGCTACAGCCTGTGAAATGCTTATGATTCTGAAGGTGTTGTGTTGTTGCTGTCCACTTTTCTACTTCAAGACTTCTCTGCTTTTGTGGTAATTTGAAGTTCTTTCTGCACCCTAATTTTTGCCAAGTGTTGTTTTTCATTTGTGAGCCTGTGGTGACATGTTGATAGTATTTAAAGATAAGAGCTATTCTGTTTTTATTTCTAATGTTCAATGTATAGCCATGGCTTGGTAAATATTAAATAGTCATGTGTTAAAAACCTACCAGATAAACTTGAGCTTTTTACTTTTTTTCTAAATTTTATAGTAGAAAGAGTTCAATACAGTTGGCATTCTCAGACTTTGCTAATGACCTTATAAATTAATAAAAAATGGTATTCAAAAGCAATGTGACAGTTTGTACCAAAATAAATGCATAAACACACTTTAGATTTTTCAGTAATTTCACCTCTGGGAATTTATTTTAAGTATAGTGGGAAAGAGACATTTATACCAAAACATTCTTATATTATAGTAGCCATTTGGTCAGCAAACAACTGTAAGTCAAGTGTTAGCCAACTGGCATGTTACACCACGTTAGAAAGAACAGCTCTAAAAGGTGTAGCAACATTAGGAAATTGAGACAGCAGGAACAGCCAGACAGCATCTGCCAACACCATGAACTGTTTTCTATATGTGTCCAGAAGAAATAGCCGAGGACATACATTATTATACTAACAATGAAATATTCAAGTTGTGGCTTAAAAATTAAACTGATGTGTTTCAGGGGGGCGGGGTTGACATTCTTTCTAAAGTTTTACATAAATATTTCCTTAGAACCTAAGTGGCAAGAATAAACAAATTGATCTATTATTCCTCCCCCCCCTCACCCCCCAAAGAGCTTTGAAGGTACACTTGTGTGGGAAAGCCAAGATCTCCATGGCCTCTTGTCCAGAAACCTACACAGAGTGACAGTGAATGACGGAGGGGGTGTTCTTAGTCATTACAGTAAGCTCTTTTTCATTTCTTTGGGTTGGTTAGAAATATTAACTGTCTTACATGCATTACAAAGTTTGGAATTTACTTTTATCCTAGGCGGTGTCGTACAGGGGTTTTGAATATATACACAGTAGAAAGTGTTGCTGAGCCACTTCACCATAGTGAAGGTGAACAGCTTGAGTTGCATGTTCCTGTAACTCCAATATTAATGAATAATGTAGTTTTGCCTTAAGATTGGTATGTTTAAAAGTTTGGTATTTTATTTCTTGATAGATTTTTAGTGAGCATTTTTAGAAACATTTGTTCATAGCTAAGTATAGTAGTTTATACCTGTGTTCTCAGCACTCAGGAGGCTGAAGCAGCAGGATTGCCCTGAACTTGAGACCAGCTGGCTACAGACTAAGAAAGGAAGAAAAGAAACACATCTTCCATAGTTGGCCATCTTACCTTGATAGCAAAATGTTAGTTAAAATACTATCTACCAAAATATTGAGCTGAGCACAGTGTCCTGTACCTGGGGTCCCAACTCCTTTTCAAGCTGAAGCTTTAGCCCAGAGATCGGGGCCAGCCTGGGCATCTTTAAAGTGAGGGAGGGAGAGAGTACTTGGCATTTGTTTTATTTTGAAGCAACTCTGGGTGGGGTTTCTGAATCACATTTCTCCTTTAGTCAGATTTTCCTCAGATTTAAAGCAAATCCAAGTTAGGTAAATTTCTCAGACATAGCGTAGTAAAGGTATAGACAGACTTAGTGAGCAAGAGGCCTGCTGTGGTGGTGGTGCAGACCGCTGCACAGCCCCTGGTACTTGTCTGATGACCAGGAAGACACTTGGCATTTCAATATTCAATAATCTCTTGAATATTAGTCCTGCTCACATGAAGTAATTTCTGGATTTTAAATGAGTGTCGTGTGATTTATTACTTATTCAGAAAGTATTATTTGCACACCCACTGAAAAGAAGACACAGTTATTCCATCACATCCATAGTCAGGGAGAAAATAAGGACTGGCAGGTCCCTCAGAAGGTAAAGGCATGGGATGCCAAGCCTGCTGCCCTCGATTCAACTGTACATACACACCCACAAGTAAATAAGTAAATGTAATTTTAAAATGTCTAAAAGAAAAGAAAATATATTAAATAAATGGACCCACAAAGTTACATGTTACACACCCTCATCCTTGTTGGCCATGTACAGTATTTTATCCATTATTTATTTAAGATAGAGAATTTTATGGAAGGAATCATAACTTTTATTATTTTCAGGACAAATGCCTTAAATATCATGCCACCTTCCATTTGTGAAACCTAAAAATCCCTAGGCTATATCAAAATTCCATAGACTTTGATTTGTTATGCTAAGAAAATAAGTTTCCTTCTTATTTTAAGTTGAAGATTGAATTTAAATATAAAGACAAATGATCCACTTGGCCTTGCCCAGCTGGAAACAGATGGTGGTTTAAAGCTTTTCTCTACACGGTCCCTGAATTCTCAAATGCACTAAGATCTTAGCAGATTCACGAGAATTTTTGTAAAAAAGTAATAATTCTTTAATGTTTTTAAATTGATAAAGTTAGATGTAAACTAAGATGAGTTTTGTACTGTTGTGGTTGTGTGTATAAGAACATTTACTTATCTTTAAGTTGGAATTTTGAGCACCGGGCCAGAGTCATCTTGATGCTTTAAATCCATGGCATAAGGGGCTGGGGTGGTTTAGTGGTTAAGAGTGCTTGCTGTTTATCTTCATTATTTTTTTGTTGCCGTGATAAGGCAAGACCAAGGCGTCTTATAAAAGGAAATGTTTAATTTGGGGTTCATGATTCCAAGTGGTCAGAGTCCATGACCACCGTGGTGTGGAGCCTGGCAACAGGGCTGGCTTGGTGCTGAAACAGTAGTTGAGAGCTTGCATTTTGATCCATAAGCTCGAGGCAGAGAGCTAACTGGGAATGACTTTGAAATCTCAAAGCCCGCCCTAGTAACACACCTCCTACCTACCCTTTCCAAACAGTCCCACCAATTGAGCACCAAATATTCAAATATATGAGCCTATGGGTGGGGATGCATTCTTACTCAGTCCACCACACTACTCTTTCAGAAAACCTACGCTGGGTTCCAGTGCCCTCATAGTGCCTCTAGCCTCATGGTATGACACTCTCCTCTGACATCCTAAGGCACTCCATGCAGGTTCAGGTGTTGAACATACATAAAGTAAGAATAGGGAAATAAAGTAGGCCAGGTGATGGTGGTGCACACCTTTGATCTCAGCACTCAGGAAGCAGAGTCAGGCAGATCTCTATGAGTTTGAGGACAGCCATAATTACACAAAGAAATTCTGTCTTGAAAAAACAGGGAGGGAGGGAGGGAGGGAGGGAGGGAGAGAGAGGGAGAGAGGGAGGGAGGGAGGGAGGGAGGGAAGGAGAGAGAGAGAAATAAGTAAAATAAATAAAAATCCACGGCATCAGTATCTGCTGTAGGTCAGGCATGCTGGCCATTCAGCTCAGTGTTGTAATACGTTAATACCGGAGCACTTCTGTTCTCATTCCTTTCAGGCTGGGGAAGGGACACTGCCTCATGAATTCATGGAAGGCGTGGAGGGAGTTGCAGGTGGCTTTATCTACACTATTCAGGGTAAGTTGGCTAGTGCAAAAGCAAACTCAATGTAGCTAACTTTGTTTTATAATACATGTTGAAAGGTCATCTTTTCAAGTTAAAAGTTCCTTATCAAGCTGGGTACAAAGTTTTATGCCTGAAATGCTGATGCTTAAGAGACTGCAGAAAAATTATGACTTCAAAAGCCATCCTGGGCTATGTAGCAACACCCCGTCTCCAAAGCAAAGCCCGGAAGCTTACTTTTTAAGGTATTGTATTCTGTTATGCAAGTAAAGCATAGTTGGACTCTTGTTGGTTCTACTTGTATTGTTTCCCAGCATAGCAAACAGAGCTACAGAGAACATTGTGGTGCCCATGTAGGATGTAGTATCTCTGATGTCCCATCACAAGTAGGCCTAAGTGAGCTATAACTCTGTCCCACCTGAAGAGCCAAATGAGCATGTGTTCCACTGCATCCTTGGGGAAGGAATCTGGTAACGTTTTCAAGTTCTAGGTCCTGAACATGCAGTAGTGTCTTCCTTCAGCAGTCAGCCTTTCCTTTTCAGAAGGAGATGCACTGTTACGAAGCCTTCACTCACGGCCCCAGAGACTCTCAAACCACATACGGGATCTACGAGTGGAAGATGCCTTACTGCAGGAGGAGAGCAGCATCTATGACGACATTGTCTTCGTGGATGTTGTGGATACTTACCGGAATGTTCCTGCAAAATTACTGAACTTCTACAGATGGTAGGTTGTGTGGATGTTGGGTAGCTAAAATTTGCTTTATTGTTATTTTGGTTTTTTTTTTTAAATTTTTTATGATTTATCTTTTATGTGCATTGGTGTGAAGGTGTCAGATCCCCTGGAACTGGATTTTCAGACAGTTGTGAGCTGCCATGTGGGTGCAGGGAATTGAACCCGGGTCCTCTGGAAGACCCGGCTCTTAACCGCTGAGCCATCTCTCCAGCTCCCTTTGTTGTTACTTTGATACAGAAACATCAAACCACCGAGATTTTAAAATCATCTGGGGTGTGATCTGTTATATCACAATCCTTTAAAATCAATTTCTTTTTAATCTTAAGGTTTTTTTTTAAAATTACTCATGTGTATGTGTCTCTGTGTCTGCCTTGTGTGTGTAGGTGCCTTTGCAGGCCAGAAGAAGGCATCAGATCTCTGGGACTGGGGCTACAAGCCGTTCTGAGCTGCCCTACATGGGTACCAGGAACCAAATGTGTGTGACATCTGGAAGAACAGTTCTTAGTCCTGACTGCTAAGCCAACTCTTCAGCACATCTTGGTTCCTTTTTAAGACATCTTCTAATGTGCTATTGCTTTCTTATTTGGATGAACAGACCCACAGTGTGAATGGCATTAAGTGTTCAAAACCAACAAAACAAAAATTATTCCCTTGGAGTCATTCCTACACACTTTGCATGTCTCAAACTCTCACTGGATTGTGGTTCTGTGTGCAGGATAAGACACTGAAGGTGCACAGCTGCACAGGCATAGTATATGTCCTTCCGGGGTGGTGCTTACTTGCATATTCCTTTTTTTGTCAACAGGACTGTGGAAACCACCAGCTTCGGTTTGCTGCTGAAGACAGATGATGACTGTTACATAGACTTAGAAGCTGTGTTTAATAGAATTGCTCAGAAGAATCTAAATGGACCTAATTTTTGGTGGGGAAAGTAAGTGAAACATGGACAGACATTGACTTTTGGTATACCTAGTGTAATTAATTTAGGATGAAATAAGCAAGTTATTTTTCCACAAGAAAAATGTTATGAAATTTCTTATTAGTTAAACTATTTTGGATTAGTTTGCTGTCACTATAACCAGAGGTAATTTTTTTTTCTATTGAAAAATCTCAGCCAGGCGGTAGTGGCACACGCCTTTAATCCCAGCACTCGGGAGGCAGAGGCAGGTGGATCTCTGTGAGTTTGAGGCCAGCCTGGTCTACGAGAGCTAGTTCCAGACAGGGCTGTTACACAGAGAAAAAAAAAATCTTAGGCTTATCAGCCAAGAGTCAAAGATGTGCTTTTAGAAGGGCATGGTACCCTGAAGCTGTTGTATGTTTTTTGTTAGACCATGTATGACACATCTTCATAGCCATTATTTTTGCTACTTTAGGAACACTGCAGGATTAGTAAATTGGTGGGTTTGGTTTCATTTGAATATGTACTGAAACACAGGGTTGGCTTCTCTTAACTTTCATTAAGAAACTGAGAGCTTACCTAAGTAATCTATATAAAGTACCATTGGGTAAATAATTCCTTTCCTTAGATGCAAGAATTTTCCCTTGCTCTATAAGCTTGTGCCTTTGTAGTGGCCAAAGGCATCTAGTAGAAGGATGTGGCCAGCCATCATCTTTGTAACATCTCAGTTTCAGGTTGAATTGGGCAGTGGACAGAACTGGGAAGTGGCAGGAGCTAGAATACCCCAGCCCAGCCTACCCTGCCTTTGCTTGTGGGTCAGGGTACGTGATCTCCAAGGATATCGTTGACTGGCTGGCAGGCAACTCTGGAAGGTTAAAGACCTATCAGGTAATAAGATCATTCATCCAGTCCAATGTCCTGAGATGTCCTTGTAGAGCCAGCTTACTATGGTTGTCCTTTCTCTGCAGGAATCACTCCTTAAAGGATGTATGTATTCCTGCCATCTATCAGACTCTAGTCATGATGTCTATATCTTATTTGAGCCTGTTTTCACAGCTTTTAGTCTTCATTTGCAAAGTGGAGGAATGTAAATACTTCTGCTAAAAGGAAGAAGCCAAAGAAGCACTTTTTTCCTTCTGACTTGGTTACAGTCTAAGGGACCAAGTGTCCCCACCTATGAGATCCACATTACACTTTAGGCTTATTAGTTCACTGTGTGTCCTGTATCCCATCCCTAGCTTGCTTTTGTACATATGGCTTTGTCTTTAAAACATTAAGAAGTTTCCATTTGACCATGAGTAGGGTGAAGATGTCAGCATGGGCATTTGGATGGCAGCCATAGGACCTAAAAGACACCAGGTAAGCAGGTATGAGGGTGCTGGCTTCACTTCTGAGCTTTTGGAGGTGTTCAAGTGAACTTACCTACTGTTCATCAACCGTAGGCATAAGAATCAGTGCCTTCTGGCATGCCAGCTATGCTCTTAAATTACAACACTCTACCTCATTATTCCTCAAATAATTGTCTAAGCTTAAACCAAAAGGAAATACTGTGAACAGAAATTCCTTATCCACAAAAAAGAATTAGGTCTTTAGATTTGATCAGAAATTCCTTAATAGTTTTACAGTTTAGAATCTGTTGACTTGAGTCTGGCCCATGACAGTGAGACCTCTCAACTCCTGACAACAGACTTTAATAGTATTTTATTTGTAAGGGAGGGTGGAGTGAGGTGGTGATGGTGATGCAGAGATCAAAATTGAAGGTAGGAAACTTGGGGGTGGGAAGGACAGGCTTTTGCCTTATTTGTTGTATTGACTTCTGGACTCTGGCTGTAGAAGGCACAGTGAACAGGACACGCAGTGCCTGCCATTCAGTCATAACACTTCTCACTCACACAGGAGTACATACCCATTCAGCTCAGCCTGGGTCCTGCTGCTGCATCAGACTCAGCACATCAAAGGCTGCTTGTGGAGCTTGTTGATGTGCTGATCCTTTTTTGTGACCCTGGCCTGTAAGAGCCATACAGAGGATATTCACTTTGCCATGCTCAATGGGGCACTATTATTTTTAAACACTTCACTGCCTTGGGCCTTATGGAACTGAAGAGCTTCTTGGACAGAAAGCTTTGTTCTCTTCCATGTACCCAAGGCATGAGGCCCACTCTGCTGCCACTGGTGAACCCTAGGGATTACCAGATTCCCTCCAGACACATGCTAGTTCCAGCAGCCTCTACGCCCATTAGAATATCATGGTTTAAAAAGAGTTTCAGGGTTTGTGTTATCAGATTCCACATTTCTTCATACGTGTTGTTGCTTGCTGAGCAGTGTGGTACTTGGGACTCAAGTTAGGAGTCTTGGACAGCCTGTTCTTACAGTGGCAGGAAGAATAATTTTGCTCTCATAGCATTTGATACTGAAATGAGATGACTTACAAAGAGTTGCAAGCATCCTATCAGAACGGCTGCCACTGCTTTATGACCTCTCTCTAAAAGGGAATATGAAAGTGTTCATCTGTACTCTCTGTACGTTTTTATAGAATTTCATGTACTGACTCTTCTGAGAATCTTCATGTAGTTTTAATTGACAATATAATGACTGTGCATATTTCTGGATTAGTTTGGCATTAGGTGACTCCTAATCTTCACACTGTAGTTTCTGGGTTCACAGCCCCAGGACTGTAAGGCTGCGGTACTTTCCCCAAGTCAGGATCCATCCCCCTCACAGATCTCTGGTAGAGTACACTGAAGTGTCACACACACACACCATCCCCCTCACAGATCTCTGGTAGAGCACACTGAAGTGTCACACACACACACACACACACACCGTTTCTTGATTGTCTTGTATTTTGTTTCTCAACAGGACAGCCTGTGGCTGTGTGAGAAAACCTGTGAGACAGGAATGCTGTCTTCTCCTCAGTATTCACCACAAGAGCTGAGCAGACTGTGGGAACTGAAGGAGCTGTGTGGGGACCCTTGTCAGTGTGAAGCAAAAGAACAGTGATCCCCAAAGACCAGGGCCTGTAAGTCGGAGGAGACCCTGTGGCTGATAGTGAGCTATAAGTAGTATATTACCAGTGTTTGCACAGATCTTAATGAATCATCTGATATTGTAGCATAAGTTTTTATTTATAAATTGGAAGATTATTTAATACCAAATTATTTTATAAAAAATATTTGTAACTCCTAATCACTGTTACTAATCAGTAATTATTTCATCATTACCACTTTTGGTTAAACCTGGCCAAATTCAGAAAGTTGTAATAATGCCATTTGAATCTCAATTATGATTATAAAATAGCTCTACAAAGCTCAATTAGGACAGTAAGAACGTGGAACGTACAAAGATGCTGTGTGGTGCTGGGGCCGCATATACCAAAGTCTGGGTTGCTGGAAATACCAGTTTGTGGATCTCTGATGTGGGCAAACTGGCCTTGAAAAGGAAATACTGTAATCTGAAGTTTTGGGGTCTTGCTTTTAAAAATGTTCATTTACATATGTATCATGCTTTCTCTTACCATTTAATGCATATCCTGAATGTCTCACCTTAGCACTCAATAAAAGTAAACACCTCAGGGTTCAGTGTCACAGGGAAGTAGGGAAGGTACTCTGCTTTGCCTGATGTTTACCTAAGCTTGAGGAGGTAGTAGTAATCTCTGGAAGTATAGGTTCAGTGTAGATAAAATGTGGAGAAAAGTATGTTGTACAGAGTAGGAGATGTGTTTCCTCAGTTTAAGGGACATTTTTCGACGACCAACCAAATCACTGTAGTGAACTTTTTCAGACAGTTAAGTAGCCCACAGCAAATGTTAACGCTATTCAGATTTAGACTGCTGTTTCTGTTTATATTTACATGTCCACATAATGGAATGCAGTAAGCTGTGGAGACAGACGGAGTAGAAAAATCACTAGTAATCAAAGCCTTTATTCTATATACAACCAAATGGTCCTTTCCCAACAAAACTTCATCCTTTATGAGGGTGAAGTTTTTGTTTCTGGTATATACAACATTACAGCCGCTAAACTCTTACGGTTGGATTGTTACCATCGCACTAGTAGACAGTCTCCATTTTCCACAGAATAAAACTGTAATGACTGTAGGTCATCTCCTAGTTCAATTTCTCTGCCTGGCATCTAAAATGAGAACAAAGTGGGGAAGAGTGAGTAGACAGATCTGATGATGCAGGTTATACATGCCGCCTCCATTTAAAATCTGTTATGTATGGCTCATGGTACTGTGGAGAACTAAGCTTAGCAACTTACCTTGGGACTTTCATAGGACAGCAGAATTTCTGAAACAGGAATTTTGAGAAGACGTGACAGCAGTCCCTTTACCTTTTGAATTGTCATGGAATCTATCAAAGAAAAGGAAAATCCATTTCTCTCAAATGATGACTGTGTACAACCAGCTCAGCCATGATCTGTCCTCGAGTCACCCAGCTAGTTGATTCTTTGGCAAGCTGGGAAATGGAGCCAATGTTTGACCCAAGTAGTCTTGACAGCGAAATGTCAAGCATTTACCATTTCTTCCTCAATCTGAGTAACCAGAAATAATCACCCCACCGAGGAGGAAAAATATAGGCCTTTGTGATAACTTCCTAATGGGTTGCTGAAGATCCCATGAGTGGGGCCTTGAGGACACCTCTCAGCCTTATTATCCCTCTAGGAGAGAACGTAGACTTCAGTGGTTGATGAGGTCCCTCCCAGCAGGAGCATCTGGTCACCATCAGGATGTGTACAATGACTACCAGGTGTGGGAAGATAGCAAAACAAATGCTATGTCTGTTCAGAACACACTAGGAACTTCTTTCCAAAGACAGCGATGAAGAAAATTAGTTTCTCTGAAGCTTTAGCTGAAAGTACAGCAATAGTGTGGTGTCCTACAAATATCACAATGTAGTCAATTATTTTTCTATAAAAATCATTTTTTATAAAAGCTGTTTTTATGCAACTTGTGATAATAAATCTTCTCTATTTTAGAATAAAACTCGTCTTTTCCTGTTTGTGACCCCCTTCAACAGTCCTACTACCCTGAATGTGCCTGATTAAAACTGCTGTGTCTAGAGGAGTAGGCTGGGTCCCACACTGAATAAGGACAAGAAGGGGAGGAAGCAAACGAGCTGTCAGCATAGTTTTGCATCCATAGTAAGGACATGATGTGACTACTGCCACATTTCCACCAGCGCCTTCCCTGCCATGAACTGCATAACCATCCTTACATTGAGTAACAAGAAGTTAATACACACTGTTAATTTCTCATTATATATTACAAAGCAGTCACAGAAACTGAACTGCTAATTTAAAAGAGAGAGAGAGAGAGAAATACTTGGCCCTAAATGGATAGAAGTTCAGGAAATTACTCTTTTGAGTGCAACTAGCCTTCCACGAGCGTTATCACGGGCAAGCTTGTTTTGTCTGATGAACATGGATATAAAATCGAGTTTACTGCACTGGTAGGCAAATAGGGAAATATATTTACTGGAGTCAAACAGACTCATATGTTTCCATTTCTTCAATTGCTCCTTCAATCTAACCCGCCAGCACTTAGCTGTGACTCAAGTTTATCTTGAGAATTTATAGAAATGTGTCATGCTAAAAAATTGATTCTTCTAAGTGCAAATCTAAGGTCAATTGCATTATCCAAAAGCATTTATGATTCTAATATTAAGTCAGTTCCAGTAGTACAAATGTTTTTTAAAGGATTCTGAAAAAAAATTTTTTCTCCCCAAGTTGTTTAAAAGCACTAACTTCTCTCCTGATCAGGAAGTTATCTCTAGACAAGCAAAGTGGAAAGAATCAATCTGGGAACTTAAATACATAGGCATGGGAAGTATTCCTTTGAGGGGCTAAGCATTCAAGTCCTCACACCTGTGGCTGGACACTATCGTGATGACAAATGCCTTTTACTTGGGAGGCAGGTATCTGAGTTCAAAGCCAGTCAGAATAACACAGTAAGACCATGTCTCAAAACAAAAACCCCACATATTTTAATAAAACTGTTTCCAGATAAGCTGAAAGTTTTAGATTAAGCACTAATGAAGGTCTACATAAACTAAAAGTTAACATTCCACCTAGTTTCACCCTAAGCCAGTGCTTCATGGGTACTTGGATAGCAGAGAAGGACATGCTCTTACCTGGCAACTGCTTTTCTAATACTTTCTGTTCAGGTTTGCTTGAGCACTTTATCTTCAATGCTTTAAGGAAAAAGGTAAAAAGTTAATAACCACCATAGCAGGGATTTACAGTATGCATGCATGTAGAACTGTGATGCAAAATTAATAAAAACTCAGAGAGAAACTGGGGTTCAACCTGAAGATCAGAAAAGCAAAACAGCCAGCCACTGGATCTTACCTCAGTTCAAAATGGCAATCCTGCCTCCAGGAATCTCAGAATGAGACTGAGAGCTGTTTCTTCCCATTTTATAATCCTTTCTAAGGCTGGGATTAAAGGCATTCACCGCCTGGTTTCTATGGCAACTAGTGTGGCAACTGGGATTAAAGGTGTGTTACCACTGCCTCGTCTGTAAGGCTGACCAATGGGGCTGTTTTACAGGCAAGCTTTATTAAAATACAAATGAAATGTCACTACAAAACTGGATTATGCCTCTGAGGTAGAGCGTATACTTTGTATACACAAGACCTCAGTTTGATTACTAGCACCAGTAAGTAAAAATGTGCAGCCCAAGAGATTGCCAGATAATGCATCAGTTTGGCACAATAACTTGGTTCAGTCCTTATAAATTAATATTCCCATGAAGCTAGAGTGTGGTGGTACACACCTGTAGTTCCAGGCTATAATCCCACCTTGAAAGGCTTTTGGTAGGATTGTCACAAATTCAAGTCCAGTCTATTCAACACATGCCAGCTATAAGACTTTGTCTCAAAACAAAAAATCAAAAAGATATTATCATGGTCCCAGAACAGGGGAGCTATAGAGGATATTGAGTACAAGGCAGCCTGGGTTTATATACCAGGATCATGTCTCAAACAGCGGAACCAGCATTCTATCACCTTTTCTTTCCCTCCACACTACCTCCTGACAGTTCACTGAGGGTTCTGCATGTGGAACACAGTGCAGGATTCGACATCACAGTGTGGTTTACTACTCTGCTCTCTCTTACACCTAGAGGGCTATTTCACAGTCTGAAGCAGGGGGACATCAGAATGCCCAACATAAACTGGGTGAGTTTGGGATCAGTACTCCCTAAGACAGTGGTTCTCAATTGGTGTGTGTGTGTGTGTGTGTGTTGTCTTGAACCCTTTCACTAGGGTTGCCTAAAACCATTAGAAAACAGCTATTAACATTATGATTCATAACAGTAGCAAAATGACAATTATGAATTAGCAGTGAAAATAATTTTATGGTTGGGGGATCACCACAATATGAAGAACTATATTAAAGGGTTGCAGCATTAGGAAAGTTGAGAGCCAATGACCTAGGAGAAACACACTTCATCCCTATCAAGCAAGCCATCACCATTTGCTGACACCCAAGACCCCAGAACAAAGCAGGTATGTGAAAGGATTCTTACTTAGCAACTGATTTTTGAGCATGAATGGCTGCTGTGTTTTGAGTTCCTCATCTTCAGGTGCACCATATTCTGTTTAAGAAGAAATAGAAAGGGATGAACAATTAGCTAAAGGCCACAGTAAGGAAACTATGCTAGTGTGAACAGAGCCTCTCCCAGGATCTACCCAGCATCACTGATCAATTAGTTTGGGATTAGCCTCCTCCTGCAGAGCTGCTTGTTGGGTGGTTAGGAGAGCTAAACAAGAGCCATTCCTGCTGGGCGCTGGTGGCGCACACCTTTAATCCCAGCACCCAGGAGGCAGAGGCAGGCGGATCTCTGCAAGTTTGAGGCCAGCCTGGTCTACAAGAGCTACTTCCAGGACAGGCTCCAAACCTACAGAGAAACACACGCACACAGACACACACACACCACAATAGCCATTCCCAAAGAAGATCATCTCTGTGGTTGTATGTTTCCATGCTTGTTCTAATAATAGTCTGACTAAGCGTCCCATGCTTTCAAAACCTCTGAACTTTTAACTTGGTTTCAGTTTTGAAAATACCCTTTCATTCAGGGTCCTGAGAAAAACAAGGTATGATCTGGAAAGAAGTCATAGAACCCCATCAGGTTTTTAGCCAGTCAAGAGTTTAGTGTCCTGCTGCAGACCATTTCCTGCACCTGCAACATAGGCAGTGGCTTCCTAGGGACACATCCTAGGACCTCAGTGGATACCTGAACCTGAGTAGCCTTAGATAGATCTTATTTCAATGTCTTTAAGTAACATGTACCTACGATCATAAATTAGACACTGTAGGATGCTAACAACCACACCAGTAAGCTGTGACGGAAGTTATATGAACCTGCACTTTCAGAACCTCTTTCTGTACTTTCAAGCTTCAGTAAGTCCATTTCTCAGCTTCTCTTTGTATTTTAAGGATCATGTCATGAAATTCATCTGTGTTGGGGGTATTTTCAAGTCAGAACACTTGTCACAAGCACTGACACCTTGGAGGTCTATATGCTGAGCCACTGAATGACTCAGGGCAGGCAACACATACGGCATGGAATGCTAGGCAGAGGCAGCCATGTACACCACACCTGGAATTCTTTGTTTTGTTTGGGCTGAGGGTGGACTAAAAGTGGAACTGCAGAAAGGCTGAACTCCTATCCTGCTGCCCTTGGTCAAGTGGTTTGGGTTTCTCTGCACACACTAGGCAATAAGAATCTGAACTGTATGCACCTGCAGGCTGCTTAGAACCTTCCCTTCCCTACCCTCAAGTGACTCAGAATTTACCTAGATCAGCCAGGAAATTGGGCCAGCTAATGGAGTAATTTGAAAGCAATTCCCACAGGCAGCTTGTCTTCCTGAGATAATGTTCCAGCTGAAGCATTTATGCAGTGAGCTGCTTGCATTGGAAATATATGAAAAGAAAAACGGCCTAAAACTGAACCATGGAATGGTGAAATGATGAGATTAAAACAAAGTGAAAAGTACATTGGGACGTAAGGCCCAATCCTTTGCTTCAAAGCCTGAGGCCCAGCTAGCGTGCTAAAGAAACCATTGTGAACACTAAGTGCCAAACAAAATAGGACAAGACCTAAGGGTGGGATATGGGAAGAACAAAAGTTTATGTGTGAACTTGCTGTGCTGGGAGCATTAAAAACACCACCACTTGAGATGACGTGGAGTACTGCCAACCTTTCCAAAACTGCAGGAACCCATGTTGACACTGCCAATGTACTGTCTGTTTTCAACTCGCTGACATGGTGCCAGGAAAGTGCCCACAGTTCCTTCAAAAAGGAAACAGATAGCCCCCCAAAGCAGAAAAGACAAAACACTGAGCCTTCCTGAACTACCATATCAGGGCTCTGTTCCAGTTGGAGTCCCCACGGGCTACCTGGACGTACTGCTGCAGAGAAGCTGGTATCTAGGGTGGGCCAAAAGAAACTCTGCATTTGGCCTGTTTTTGTCTGGATCCGTATGTCCGCCAGCCCTTTTCCATTCATTTCCAAAGGCTTTTTGGTAGTCAAGCTCAGCTCCACGCCTTTCGTTTGGAAGAATCTGTGTTGAGAAATAGAAATGTGTCATCTTCCAGTGAGCTGCTCATGTTTTTACCCAGTCTTCCCTCTGGTGCTCACGCACAGACAATAAAACTGTTGCCATCCACACATCCCTGCACTTTTCTTTTCTAACACAACTCACAATTTCCAAACTGGGGATGGTGGTACCTGTCACTTAAAGAGAGCTAATGCAGAACTGCATGGAGTTCAAAGCCAGTGCGGGCCAGAGACTCTTGTCTCAAAACTAAAATTCAAAGTAAATTTTTATTTAAGAAAGACTAGATATTATATAACCCTGAAAACTTATTTACATCCCCAAGAACTTGCACATTCTTCTACAGAACTAATATCCAGGGCCAGCAAGATGCTTTAGCAGTTGATACACTTGCCTTAAAGCCTAATGACCCCTGTTCAGTCCCCGATACATATGGTGGAAGGCGAAAACAAACTTCTGCCAAGTTGTCTTCTGATCTTCATATGTGCACTAGTATGCATGACCCTTTTCCTCCAAACAAGTAAAGGTAATTTGATTCTTTAAATTCTACCTTTTTAATTATTTTTAAAAAAAGATTAACTTTGGATTTTTGTTGCACTTATGTATTGCACCAACATGCCTATAGTGTCTGAGGAGGCCAGAAGAGAGCACCCCATCCCTGGGAACTAGAGTTACAGATGCTGTGGATCACTGTGTGGGTCCTCTGCAAGAGCAACAAATGCTCCTAACCACTGAGCCATCTCTCTGGGTGCCTGGGTTCACCTCTCGCGTGTGCTATAACAGCTGAAATTTCACTGTGCCTAAGCCTCAAAGCCTCACTGTTGGGAGCAACAAGGAGAGAAAGAGACGTGCTCTAAGCCTGTGTTCTTTCTGTTTCTTTCCAAGGATACGGGATAAAGCGGCTAACACTACCCCACCTTATCTTAAATGACCACTGTTGTTCAGGCAGCAAAGTAACAATGATTTGGCACTAACCTAAATATAACCTTTTTCCCTCCAAGGACTTGGCAGAGAATCCCAATAAACAAAACGCATCTGGTCATCACTTTGTAATATTCAAATGTAATTTACTGTTACAGTTTTTATTACTTATTTTCTAGTCTTAAAAAAAATTAAAACCTAGTGCCATGGCACACCTGTAGTCCTAGCTACTCTAATGGCCGAAGCAGAAAGGATGCTGAGTCCACAAGTTGAGGCCAGTAGAAGCAACAATGAGACCTCCTCTCCAGAAAAAAACCAAAGGGTGTAGTTAGGGTCCTAGTGCTTACCTCACTTCTGTTTAGGGTCTTCAGCTGACCAATCTTGGCAATGATGATTTCCTTTGCTTTGTTTCCTTCAGTCAAGGGGTTTCTAGTACAGGACAAAGCCTGTAGGCTCTGTAATTTATCTAGCTCATTGATAAATGACCACTGAAGCAACAAAAGGAAAAAGGAAAAGCAACATGTGTCAGAACACATCTCAGATTACTTGGCCTAGCACATAAAAGTAAAATTGCCTTCCATCTGAGGTACCAAGTGCACTGGACACCAATACCACCCATGTGAACTTAGTGCTGTTCTACATCTGTGTAAATAAAAGAACTCTAACCCTGAAAAGTTTCGCTTTGAGGAAGTATTATGCTTTTGTTTTAATGTTTTTTTAAGACTTATTTTATGTGTATGGATGTTCTGTCTGCATGCCTGTCTGTACACATGTGTGCAGTGAGCAAGGAGACCAGAGGAGGGCATTGGATCTCCTGGAACTGGAGTTACAAACAGTTGTGAGTAGCCATCTGTCTTTTGGGAATTGAACCTGAGTCTGCTGCAAGGGCAGCCAGTGCCCTTAACCACTGAAAGCCAACTCTCCAAACCCCTAGTTTAACTTTTTTGACAGAAGAAACCTTCAAATTTTGTGTGCATGCGAAGACAAGCAGTATTGTGCCCTGCACACTGAGGCAGTTCTTACGTCTGATATTTTGTTGTCATTGACTACGAGGTACTGCAAGGACGGGAACATGGATGTTTTGCACCCTAGAACAATAAAAAAATAAAACTGCACAGTAGGAATGAAAGAAATAGCTAACATAGGAAGGAGGGACATTAATAATATTATTTACCAATTCCAGCATCCGGAAAATGTATAGAAGAAAGTCCAGTGTCAAAATGAGTAGGTGTTCTAATCTGAAATTAAAATGTTACATTTGATTACACAGGACACTGAAGAGTTCTGGGGTATCTACTAGACTAGCAAGTCTTTTCCTCCACCTTAGATTTCCATCCTATTATGAAACACAAGGTCCAGAAGGAAGGCTGACACTATGATCTGTTCTTCCACATGCATGCCCCTCTAAGATTATGGAGTGCGTCCTGTTCTGTCAGGGGCTAAGTGGGTCTCAAAAGAGGTAGATGGGGGTCTCACTTCCCCAAGATTAACAAATGGAGATGTAGGTGTCACCACCAGGACCAAGTCTGCAGCTACAAATGATCTAGTACGTAGGTCCACATAGTATATGAGGGACAAGTACATTCTCCAGATGAGTTCAAGTTGATATTTTTCAAGGGACTTGCCCAGTATAGAAACTATAATTTCTATCTATTCAAAAAGTGCATTTAACATATGACAGTTCATTCACTAAAATGATATGGATTGACTGGTGGTGGCGGCACACTCTTTTAATTCCAGCACTCAGGAGGCAGAGACAGGTGGACCTCTGTGAGTTCAAGGCCAGCTTGGGCTACAAAGTGAATTTCAGGACAACCAGAGCTGTTACACAGAGAAGCCCTTGAAAAACTAAACAACAACAAAAAAGAAAATGATATGAACTTTAACAGGCAAATGTAGGTGGAGGCTGCTCATTCATTCCCAGATGCCCAGACCAGAAATAATCACACAGAAACTATATTATTTGCAATACTATTTGGCCAATAACTTAAACATATTGCTAGCTAGCTCTTATATCTTAAATTAACCCATTTCTATTAATCTGTGTATCGCCATGTGGTTGTGGCCTACCAGTAAGGTTCTATCTGGCGTCTGTCTCCTGCGGCGGCTACATGGCTTCTCCCTGACTCCTCCTACCTCTCCTCCTCTGTCTGCTTGGAATTCCTGCCTTGCCCTATTGTGCTAAGCCACTGGCCAAAACAGCTTTATTCATTAACCAATAGAAGCAACACATAGACAAATTTTAAGGGATTACCTGGGAAGATATGCTATGAGGCACAGCTGATTTTCATCAATGGCTGGGTTAGAGGAAAGGTCTAGTAACCTCATCTTCTGCAGGACGTTCGCTGGCCTGTATGGAAAGTACAATTTTCTCAATATGGACTAATCTCTTTTGTTTTCAAAGTTCGAGGCTTAAAATAAATGTACCAAGAGTTAGGGAGGAAGGCAGATGGATTTGCCCCCCCACCAAAAAAAAAACGGGATGCTGTGTTGAAATGTTGGCAAAATCTGGGTCCTTATCCTGCCTTTGATAAAGAAAGATGCCTCCACTTGCCTCCATAAATGAAACCATTCTATACAACAGTCTTTACAGTCTGAACCAACTCAAAAATTTCCATCCTTAACTTTCTTTCCCATAGTTATTTAATGATTATCTAAAAAGGGAGATGATGGGCCAGACAGATGGCTCAGTTGGTAAAGGCATTGCCACACTCTAGTACAATAGCAGATATTACCAATTAAAGATCCTTCATTTGCTAGACACAGCTGTCCACATCTGCTTTCCCAACACGCAGGTGGTGAAGGCAAGGCTGAAGGTCATACTTGGCACATAACTACTTTGAGGCCAACTTGGGCTATATGAGACCTTGCCTCAAAACAAACAGGACTAACAAGATGGCTCAGGAAATAACAGTGCTTGCTTCACAAGTATGGCAACTTGAATTCAATCCTTTGAGCCCACAGTGGAAAGACAACCCCAAAGGTTGTCCTTCACCCACATACCCTTGAATTCACACATAAATACATATATATATATATACATGTATACACACAATTATAAATTAAGAAAAAAAAATATCATTTACTTTAAAATTCTTGCAATACTAAAAAATGAACTCAGCAGCTAAAGGGATGGTTCAGTGGTTCAAAGCATTGGCTGCTCTTCCAGAAAATTGAGATTTAATCCCCAGCACCCACATGGCAATTTTACACCCTTTTACTTCAGAGTCCTAGAGGACCAGCTATCCTCTTCTGGCCTCCTTGAGCACTGTGTATATGTGGTACATAGATATACATTCAGGCAAACATACAACACATAAACAGTGTGTATCTTAAATTTTTAAATAAAAACTAACCTAGGGCTTTGCACATAGTAGGCAAATGCTCTATCATTAAGCTAAGCTACATCCCTCTGCCTTTGGTTTTTATGAGATAGGGTCCTGCTAAGTTGTATAGGATGGCCCTGTGCCCACCCCCCAAAAATATAAGGAAAAAAAAGCGCCAGTACTCCAACGAGAATCAGAGAATCCAATACATGTAAGGAAAACTAGTAAATTCTAATACTTAAGTTTGATTGTCTATGAGAATCCAAACTATTTATACAAAGCTAATAAAAATCAAATATTTAATCAAATATTAAATTCAGATGTCTTTGATGAGTTTCCTTTGGTTTGAGTAACATTTCAGTTGACAATCTAACTGTAATACAATGAATGAGTAAGGAGTAAGTACTACTATAATTCATGCTTGCAAACCTTCATAAAAGTTAATTCCCAACCTGAGACTTTATTCAGAATAACCGAATAGCAATAGAATCACTGAAGCAAAGCCCATTACCTTTCTGAAATGGAAATACTGTTAGACTTGAGGTAGAGTTCCTCGAGAACTGGCCATGAAGGGGCACAGCGCAGCACCTAGAAAGGAAACTGAACTCAGTGTCTGGCAGCCTCTTCTGGCCATGCTCAGTCACATCACCACGGGAATACTGCCTTATGGACAGGTCATGCAAGCTGTACTCAGGCACCAAGTAGTAGTGCGGGAGGATGAAGGGCCATGTTGAAAGACTACTGGTAGACACTCTTCTGCTACTATTAACCTGGCAGCTGAGTCAGCACCCAGCTCAGAAAGTGTTCAAAGGAGCTGGGAATGCTGATGGACACCCACCTGTCTAGTGGCCTAAGCACAGGACAGGATGTGGTACTCACCTTCTTGGTTCTGATACCACTTGGGCATGTGAAGGCTATGCTGAGCACATAAAACTCTCTCCATCAGTTCTTAGGTGTTTCCCAGTAGGCCTTACTGCCACCCCCATACAATTGCTAAGTGCTTTTCTGCCCCAGGCTTGGTATGCAACAGAAAAGGTAGACTGTCCAAAATCTGAGGCCGAGAAAAAGACAGAAACAGACGTACCAAATGCAATATGCCAAGGACACCTGTGGCTACTCCTGAACCAACCATACTAGGACAGTGGGTGACAAGCCTGCAGGTGAGACTCCACGTCATGATCTGCCCTAAGAACATCTGTAGGGAACCTGGGGGAGCCAGCATTATAGCTTTTAAAACTCCACATATTTGGTGCATGCCACTGTGAGCATCCATGTTCAAGACTCCAGAGCAAACAAATGAGCTAAGAGACAGGGACAGGCTGAGAAAGAAACGTAGATTACCAGATCAAAAAAACTATTTCACCAAAGGATTACTTTTCTCTGTAATGAAGTGTAGAACATTCTACTGTTTGGATAATAGGGTAACTGAAATGAAACCAGTTAGTCTTCAATTCCCTTTTAAAGCAAAACATTATATTCACTTATTAATGTATAATAAAGCAAATATGATTACCTCAGCCCATGTTACTCCCATTTTATTTAAGACTAAAATCTTCAGATTAGAAAACGTTCCAGCTGGAGTTGGTGAGTCAGAGGGAAACTGTAGTTTATTTTCACTGAGAAGAAAAAGAAGACATGAAGTACTTACTCCTACACGGCAGACCTAATACTCTGATATCAACAGTCTGGGGTTTAACCTGAAGATTTGAAAGGAGCTCTCTTCAAGGTAGGCAAAGAAGCTTCAGGTTTCCCCATACATTTGAGGTTGGCTTGGGCTCCCATACTTCAGAAGAGGAGACATAAGTGTTAAACCCATTTGCTCTATTTGAGGTGCCTTCAAGCTTGACTATCTGTTCCATTTGTACCTGCTTTAGCCTAGTAAAGCTTAACCTGCATATAAAAAGCACTTAAGAATGCAAGAGGAGAAAGGTTGGGGGTGTGTTCAGTGGTAGAGGGCTTGAGAAACACAAAAACCTAGGCTTGGTTCCCAGCACCATCAGAAGGAAGGGAAGGAAGGAGGACTGGACCAGCCTAGGTGAGCCCTTGAAAAGTGAGATTAAACTAATCAATTATTTGGGAAGGTATCAGAAATGTAACATTAGTAAACAAAATAAAAAACTTTATTAAAACTATATTAAACAATGTCCCATTAAACACTGATTCTAAATTTAAAAAAATCGTGTTCAGCACTAACCCCTCTCCTCCTCTTCTGGGATCACATATACAATAGTCCCTCTTTCACAGTCAGACTTTTAAGTTATGAAGATCTACTCCCTCCCACCTGATAAGGACACAGATATACTCCTTATTCATGCACCTCAAGGGACCATCTGAAGACTGTGCCCTGAAGTGAACCTTTAGCAAAGTCCATTTAGGCAAAGCTTCCCGTAAAGTATCTGCCAACTGTCAGAGAAGGCAGTGTAGAGTCCATACCTGAGATCGAGATCCTCCAGGTTGGTGAGCTGCTCTGCAATAAGAACCACTTCATCCCAAGATGACAATAGGTTTTTGGACAAATTAACAATTCGAATATCTAAGACACATTTTTTTTTTTTGTGGTTTTTCGAGACAGGGTTTCTCTGTGGTTTTGGAGCCTGTCCTGGAACTAGCTCTGTAGACCAGGCACATTTTAAGAAAAAGTAATTTCAAAAGACTCCTCAAAGACATAGAATTAGTAGCATTCTAATTCTGAAGTGTGGATTTTGTTTTGTTTCTGAGACACAGTTTCTCTGTGCAGCCTTGGCAGTCCTGGAACACACTCTGTAGAACAGGCTGGCCTGGAACTCAGAGACCCCTGCCTCTCTTGCCACCACTGCCTGCCTGAAGTGGGGATTTTAAACTTCTCACTGTCTAGTCGGAATGCAAATGTTTTTATGTTTTAAATTATGTTAGCCTGGATATAGCTCAGTGGTAGAGTGCTTCTCTATATGCCAAAAGCCCTAAGTACCATTCCTAGCACTGCAAACTAAAACAAAGAAATATTATTACCCTGGTTTATCCAAAACCTAAAATAACTCATTTTCATGTGTCAAAACGTGAGACAAGCATCTATAACCAAAGCAGAACCAAGTGTCAAAATCAAACTTCTGCAGGACCAAAAAACAAACAAACAAAAAACCTAGTAACAGACAACAACTGAAATACTGAGCACCATCAGGCCCTGCCTTCAGCGCTGCCTTAAAGCCACAAGCATGTATGCCTGTGCACACACCCACCCTTCTCTCCAGAGCACCATCCTAGAGGAGAATACAAGGGTAGCAGCAACACAGGCAAGAAAGAGGCTGAAAACTCAGTCTGCAATGTGGCTTCTTATCTGTGATTCATGACCACAAACGTAGAACAAGGTTCTGGGACCATCACATGCATGATGGCTTAAGGATCAACAGCCATGCTCTCAAGTGTAACATAGTCACAGACCAGCTAATAGAAGATATGTCTATGTGTTGCTATGGTTACCCTACAAATAGTTATCAAGGGCCAAGAAGACAAGTTTAGCAGGGAGACAGTCCTTAAGCTAACACCTCCTGCAAGTCTGAGACTGCGCATGTCAGAGTGGCAGGGGGGACAGGCAGGAAGGTGAGTGGCCATCCAGACAGAACTGAAAACAAAGTCAATGAGCACACTGAGCAGAAAACTGAGGGAATCCGGGAAATAGAACCTGGAAGAATCCTGTGGCATCCTGTGATGGAGGAAGGTCATTGGCTAATAAAGGCACTGCCCTGGCCCATTTTATTGGTTAGAGGATAGGTGGGAGGAGTAAACAGAACAAAATGCTGGGAGGAAGAGGAAGTGAGGTCAGAGTCTCGACAGCTCTCCTCGTGGGAGCAGACGCCTGAGAGAGACGCCATGCCCCGCTCCCGGGATGAAGCTCGGACCCAGGATGGACTAGGCTAGAATCTCCCCGGTAAGCGCACCTTGGGGTGCTACACACAGATGATTAGGAATGGGCTAAATTAATATGTGAGAATTAGCCTAGAAGAGAATGGGCCAAGCAGTGATTAAAAGGATACAGTGTCTGTGTAATTATTTCGGGGCATAAGCTAGACGGGCAGGCTGCTGGGGTGTTGAGGACGCAGCCCCGCCGCCGCCCTTATTACTACAATCCTGGACACAGCTGTGATTACAGCGAGGTGCTGAGGTCAGAGTGGAATCAGCCTCCTCCAGCCACCTGGAAAGATGGACAGGTATTCTCAAAATGAGGCATCTAGGCCAATGGTTCTCAACTATCCTAACACTGTGACTTCAACATAGTTCCTCATGTTGTAGTGACCCCCAACCATAAAATTATTTTCGTTGCTACTTCATAACTATAATTTTTGCTACTGTTATAAATCATAATGTAAGTATTTTTGAAGACAGGTTTGCCACAACCCCTAAGTTGAGAACCACTAGGCCTTAGAGACCAGGCCACATCATAAAGCACCTCCAGGTTGCTTCAAAGCCTGCTAGTCTGCCAGAAATGGGCACTCCTAGAGAGGCTGGAGCAGAATAACAGGATCTGACCTAGGTCTCTGGAAAGTCACTCTGCTGTAAGGTTGAGCCGAGGACAGTAGGGAGACAAAAGAGACAAGTAGTCCCCTGTCTTCGTCAGGGTTACTACTGCTGTGATAAAAAACCATGACCAAAAGCAACTTGGGGAGGAAAGGGTTTATTTGTTTTACATATCCTGAACCACAGTCTACTGAGGGATGTCAAAGCAGGAACTGGGTAGGAACTGGAAGCGGGAGCTGATGCAGAGGCCATGGAGGGATGCTGCTTACTGGCTTGCTCATGATTTGCTTAGCCTGCTTTCTTACAGAACCCAGGACTACCAGCCCAGGGGTGGACACCACCCACAACGGGCTGGGTCCTTGGCCATCAATCACGAAGAAAATACCCCATAGGCCTTCCTACAGATCAATCTTATGGAGGCATTTTCCCAGCTGAGGCTCCATCCTCTCAGATTACTCTAGCCTGCATCAAGTTGACATAAAATTGGTCAGCACAGCCCCACAGCAGGCTTGGATCCCACCTCAGCATGAGAGCAGGAGGAAATATCAGGCTGAGTACCCCAAGCTGAAAGGAGAGCCAGACAGAAGGAAGTGAGGAAAACAGAGGCAGAGCTGTCCGGGCACATGGTACTGCTGTTTATTGGGTGCAGAAATTATGGTACAAGTAGGCTGGAGAGGTCTCGCTGTGGGACATATTGTTAGAGACAGAAATTAGACAGAAACAGTGCTAAATGAGCCACTGGGAGAACCGCAGGGAAAGACAAGAACAGTGTGGGAAGGAAGAATGTTAAGTTCTAACTATGCCTCAATACGGTCTCCGAGAAGACACACTCTTTGCCGAAAGAAGGAACCTTCCATAAGACACAGAAAGCATTCACCCAGGGAAGAAGAAACCCATTAAGAATAACAGCTGCAGCTGATTTTTTTTTTTTTGAGACAGGCTCTCATGTAGCTCAGGTTGGCCATAACTCACTATGAAGCAGAGAATTACCTTAAATTCAAGATCTCCTGCCTGTGTTTAGTACTAGGATAACAGGCATGCACTGCCACACCCAGCTGCGGATTCACCTTTTCCACAGAAGAAAATCCAAGGCAACTGTCACCTGTACAAAGCAGCACGAGACAATCAACCTGTCACTCTCCACCCAAAGTCCCATTTGATATATGCCATAATACAAGCAGGAACATTAAACATAAGCCAAGCATAGAGACAAGACAGGTGAGTAATCTCAGTACTAGGAAGGAAGGCTGAGGCAGAAGGGCTGAAGCAATTTCAAGGCCAGCCTGAGCTACACTATAAGACACTGTCTAAAAAACACCAAAAAACCCCACAGACATGGAGAGCCTGTTTTATCACTCCAGGGCTCTGGCTGAAAATGAATCAATCTTAGGAGGAAGCAGGTGAGGGACTCCACAGGAGCACAGGGTAGGGAAGAAAGGCAGGAGGAGGCGGTAAACCCAAACCTGCCAACTTGCCACCTGTGTCCAGATGCGTCAGCTCTTTCAGCCTTACTGGATGGCTTTCTTCACACTTGAAAGACAACTGATGAGACCCTGGGCATCCCACATACACTGAGAAATGACCAGAGACCAACACAGCAGAGGAAATGCTAACCAAATCTGTCCCCGTGCTAGGGGCCACCTATGAATTTCAACTCTCAGAGCTAAGCATGGTCACTCATACTGTAATACCAGCACTTGGGGGAAGAGGTAGGAGAACTTTTGAGTTCAAAGCTACTCTCAGATACATGGTGAGTTCAAGGCCAGCATGAACTACAGATACAGAGTTAGACCCTATCTCAAAAAAAAAAAAAAAATTCCTCCTCCCCAGCACCAGAAAACTATATTAAAGTATAATAAAAATTTTCACACTCATTGGCTGTACTTGCAGGCAAAAGGGTCTGGGAATGTCCTTAACTGATGTGCACATCCCAACAAGGGCATGCAACCAATGGTGTCGGGCACAGGCACCAACCAGATCCAAAATCAGGTTTCAGGAATGAAAAGGATACTGGGACAGGCTTCAGCAATTCTTCCTTGTTCACCAGCACAACTCACAGCACACTTCCACAGGGAAATGTCTTTCAGTGCTCTCAGCTGACTGCAGGAAAAACAGTTCATATGTATATGTAAGTCATATACTATCATGTCCACTGGCCCTTTAGAATCTTACACAAGTGCTAGTACCCATCACATAAATTAAGAAGCAGAGTGTTACAAAAAAGGAGAATGAAATGAAGCATCATAGCCATTAGAGGCAGCTGTAGTCATTGCTCCTCTCGAAAACATCCTGCTCACCCTGATTCCTCAGCAACCTCTCCAGCCACAGTTGCTATGGACTTACTCTTGACTGTAAAACTCCGTGTCTCCAATTACTGTTTTATTGTATACAGATTCTCCTGTAACTTCTTCCCTCTGGAGGAAACTGTGAAGCAGTGGGATTCAGCTCCACTGGTCTGGAACACTTGTTAGTGTTCTACTAGACCCAAATGAAGTTACTAATTCTGCTGACAGTTGGCAGTTCCCCAAAATGCTGAAATGACACTACTGAGAGCCTCCTGCCCAGTGAGACAGAGCCTCTCCAGGAACGTGTCTGAGGCATTGTGCCTGAGACCTCTCACTGTGATTCTACATATGCAGGACTTGTGTCTATCAGAAAAGCCAATGTCCTGGAACTCAGAATCCAGAGCTGGGCTACCCACCACCTTCCTTGGCACTAGGCAAGTGCCTCAGACGTCACACTGGTAAAATGCTGTTGCATGTACTTTAATTGTAGCAGCTTTATTCACACATTACCCAAAAGGCAGAAACAGCCCACGTGTCTAGAACAGATGAACCAAATGTGACGTCACATTTGAGAAGCAGTGTTTGGCCTTAAGAGGGAAGAAATTATGACATCCATAAATGGAGAGACCTTGAAAAGATTACTCTAATCAAGATCAGACAGTGGGACAAATACTGCACAAGGATCCCACCTGGTGATCCCAGAACAGACAAAGCGACAGGTAGAAAAAACATGGCTGGGAGGAGGAGGAGATGGGGAATTAGTGTTTATAAGGGATGGATTTTAGTTTGGAATGATGGGAATGCTCCAGGGACTGGTTTACATGATGTTTAGAGTTCACACTGCTAAGCCAGTTTACTAGAATTTTTAAAACATAACAAATGACTTAGTGAGTTAGTATTTCTGAAGATTTCAAAATACTGCTTAGCACCAAATGGTTCATTTTCATTAATGTTTGTAAAAATTAACCAAAAACTGACAATGTTGAGGGGTAAACACAAGAGCTAAATGCATGGCAAAGGTGATTATAGTCATCAGAAATAGGTTCTAGGGCAGAAGGCTCTCCCATTTGTTCAGCAGGCCCTGAGAGTTTCAGTAATGTTTCATGTTGCCTACATCAAAACAAGTATTTCCCAGTTCCAATTTTGTGTGTGGTTAGGACCAAACAACTTCATGATGACTTAGGTCTACCAATCTAGAACCCCTGAGTGCATGACTTCCCAGACTCTGAAATCACTCCTTCTGAACACCATTGTGCCCATATTCTGCTTGCCATAATCTTCAGGAAGTACTTGCTTTGTATTTATTCTAGATAGGGTTTCATGTGGCCTAAATTGGCCTTGAATGCCTGATCCTCTGTCTCCACCTTCCAAGTGCTGAGATTATAAACATGTGCCACCATGCCTAGAAATTCCTTGGTCTTTTAACACAGCAACTGTTCATTTCAGTTTCTCAGAAACCTGAACTCACTGAAAGGAACTGTTAATGTCATTCACACAGCTGTCAATAACTGCAGACCAGTAGTTTGTACGCTGAAAGAAGACGCTGTTTCTGGGCCAGTGTGTGGTGGTACTTTAATCCCAGTACTTGGCACCTGGAGGCAGGAAGGTCAAGAGCTCAAAGTCAGACCATCTAGATAAGATGACTCAGTGGATAAAAGTACTTGGACCTGAATTCAATCCCTGATACCAATGCCTACAAAAAGCAATAAGTGATGACTCACATCTGTAACCCTAGCCTTCCTACAATGAGGTAGAAAAAGAGAATCACCAATCTCCTAAAAGTTGTCCTGGCCATACTCTCATACTGTGACATGTGCATGCCTGCTCTCATACAGACATCATACACACACAGATAAAAGCTTGAAATTTAAAAAAGCTGGGAGGTGGTGACTCACAACTTTAATCCCAGCACTTTGAAGGCTGAGCAGGTGGATCTCTAAGTTCAAGGTCAGCCTGGTCTCAGAGTGGGTTCCAGAACAGTAAATGCTATACAGAGTAACCCTGTTTCAAAAAAACCAAATCAAACCAACCACAACAAAAAAAAAAAAAAAAAAAAAAAAAAAAAGAGTTCAAGGCTAGCCATGAGGTCCTTTTCTCAATAATAAAAATAATTAAAAAAATTAATCAAGATGCAATTTCCCTCTACAGTTCAAAGTGTGCCATGCTGGGATGTTGAGGAACAAGGTCTCTATAGCAGCATCAACCTAAAGCCATCTCCAGAAGAGCCAGGATACATGGGCTCATAATTGTTTCTCATTTTTATTGTTCCTGTCTCTCCACCCACCCCCAGACCCCTATTTTTAAAACATTTCTCTTATTGATTCCTTGGGAATTTCACACCATGCATTCCAGTCCCACTCATTTCCCAGTTCCCCAGTCCCTCCGTATCCACGCCTCACCCCTGGACATCCCTCCCAGGAGCATACACCCCCACCAGATTAATTTTAAAAAACCACCTCACTCCCCTGTCTTTCCAAAACTTCTTCATTCACCCTAGTGGCATGGGGAGCTGTAATGTGTCATACAGTATCCCCTTCTGTCCAATCAGCCTCACCTGAAAAGCGTTCATTGCAACGAGTCATTGGTCTGGTTCAAGGCCCACGGTACACCGTCATGTACCCTCACCACCACCCCACCCTCACTGACCCTCCTCTCAGATATCCTGCTGCTGCCCCGAGTCATGGAGAGCCTGTGGTTATTGCTCCACAGCACTAGTTCTTTTATGTACTCCAGCAGGTCACAGATGGAGTAGAAATTACGGTGGGACAACCCAGGGCACAGAATGTGGGTCTGAGAGGTGGCTGAGCTGGTCATCTGAGTCACTGGGACTGCCCCCCTCAGGGGAGGGGCAGAGCCAGCTTTCCCACACCTAAAATAAGTCACTCAGGATCAGACTCCCGAAGTTTCGACCAACACAGGCTACTTAGTGGTGCTGAACCAAACTGCCTCCTCAGGACCATCATCACTCTGCTGGCCGTGGAGGTCACAGAGACGACTCACCACCCCCAAATAGAGGTCAGAACAACTTTGTAATGTCAGTTCTCTACTTCCACCCCTCTGTGGGTTCTGGAGCTCAAACTCAGGTCCCTAGGCTTACATGGCATACACCTTTACCCACTGAGTCATCTTGAGAGCTCCTCTATTTTTTTTTTAAAGATTTTATCTATGAATGTTTTATCTTCATGTATGTATATGTACCACCTGCATGCCTGGTACCTGTGGGGGGTCAGAAGAGGGCATCGAATCCCCTGGAACTGGAACTGTATAGATAGTTGTGAGTTGCTTTGCTATATGAGTGCTGGCAACTGAACCTGGGTCCTCTGCAAGAGCAGCAGGTGTTCGTAACCACTGAGTCCTCACTTCAGGGCACACTGCACACCTCCCCTTGTAATGTAACAGGATTTCATGTAGCCCAGGCTGGCTTTAAACTCACTGTCTACCCAAGGGTGATCACTGAACTCCTCATCCTCCAACCTCCACCTTCCAAATGCTATGGTTACCTGTAAGAATGAACCACCACACTCCGCTAAACCGAGGGTTTTTATTTCCCTGAATAATCAGTGCTTGTGATTATTCTCAAGATACTGTGAAAAGGTGAACCAATGTGGAAGCAAAGTTCCAAGCATCACCACACAATCAAGAACTTTAATCCCAATCTGTTGACTGAAAGTCAGGCTGCCACATCAGCTCTTACCTCTGCTTCTTTGTGATACTGTCAAAACCAACAGTTTGCACTTGTTTATTTCCAACTTTTAAGGAACTTGATTTTCCATCATCATCAGATCCATCTTCTAACACATAACGCTTCTTAAGAGCAGTAAGAAAGTCTACTCCAAAATTAACTTTGTTTGGACGAACAAAGGAGCCTCCTGTTGGGTGCCTGAGAAGGGAAAGAAATTACTATACAAATATCATGAGCATGGTGACATAGGCTTGTCAATCCCAGATATTTGGGAGGCTGAGGCAGATTCCAGACAAGAATACATAGTGAGACCCTGTCTTTTTTTTTTTTTTTTAAATACTAGGCCAGCCTGGTCTACAAGAGCTAGTTCCAGGAAAGGCTCCAAAAAGCTTCAGAGAAACCCTGTCTCGAAAAACCAAAAAAAAAAAAAAAAAAAAAGGAAATACTTTACATTGTTGGATATCACTTTGTTATTTAATCAAGAAATATTAATACGGCCAGGCAGTGGTGGCACATGCCTTTAATTCTAGCACTTGAGAGGCAGAGCACACAGCCAAGACTACACAGAGAAGCCCTGTCTTGAGGGAAAAAAAAAAAAGAGAGAGTGGACTGGAGAGGTGGCTCAGAGCACTGGAATCTCTTCCAGAGGTCCTGAGTTCAATTCCCAGGAACTACATGGTGGCTCACAACATCTATAATGAAATCTGATGCCCTCTTCTGGCATGCAGGAATACATGTAGGCAGAACACTACATATACAATAAATAAATAAAACTTAAAAAAAAAAGAAACCAAAAAGTAATGTGTATTTTAAAACTTTAAAAACTATTTTTATTAGATGTATGTTACTGGGGATTGAACTCAAGACCCTACACATACACATTCTACCTATGACATACATCTACAGGGTCTCAGTAAAACAGTTACTCATCTGCATGTCTATGTGAGCACATGAGTGCCATGGCACATATATGCAGGTCAGAAGATAGTTATCTCCTATATGTGTGTCCTAAGGGATCTAATTCAGGTCATCTGGCTTAGCAGCAAGTGCCTTTACCAGCTGAGTTATCCCACGGGCCCAGACTCTGAATTTTCTATACTCCTGCTTTAGCCTCCAGAACAGATTAAGATAATGCCGTGGCATTATGCCCAGCAGTTACTGTATTTAATTCACATATTTGCTCTGTTTTCTCTGTTCTTGAGACAGTCTCCGTCTGTAACTCAGGCTGGCCTGAAATTCACTATGTGTCTCACACTAACACTAAACGCGGCCTCTCAAGTGCTGGGATTACAGGAGTGAGCCACTAGACTTAGCTATTTACTACTTTTAACTAATATCTTTATTTTTTTATGTATATGAGCATTTTGCTACCTGCAAGTATGTATGTGCACCACGTGTGCAGTCACTGCAGACGAGCCAGAGTCCCCAGAACTGGAGTTACAGGTGGTTGTGAGCCACCATTTGGGTGCTGGGAACTGAACCCTAGAGTCTTCTCCCTCCAGCCCCCTGTTTACTACTTTTTAAAGTATATTTTGTGTGTCCCAAAAAGATCCAGAATAGAGAAGATGGGAATTAAAAACCTGACCTAGCATACACTGCATAAAACTGTAAAATCTAAGGTGGACCTTCAAGGACAAATAAAATTTGGTTTAAAAAAAAAAGCTAAAAAAAAATTCTTTTTTCATAAATAAATGTTGAAATATTTTTTTTTAATGCTGGAGGTAGAAGGAGAGGAAGAAAGAGAGGTAGCTCAAATGCTAATTGATTTTAATAATAAAAACTCAGAATCAGCTGTCAGGGGGTGAAAGCGGAAGGATCAGATAAGGAGAACAGCCAGTCACTAGAATTCTTACCTCTACCAATGCTCAGACCAAAAGGGCAATCCTGTTCTCAGACTGACTGCAATGGGCTCCTGTCTCCTTCTACCTTATATTCTTCTCTTTGCCCAGCCACATCACTTCCCGTCTTCACCTCCCTGATGTGGGAGTGTCTTTATCTATCTGCTGCTTTCATTGGTTAATTAATAAAGAAAACTGCTTGGCCTGATAGGGCAGAATTTAGATAGGCGGAGTAGACTGAACAGAATGCTGGGAGAAAGAAGCCGAGTCAGGCAGACGCCATGTCTCTCCTCTCCAAGCAGTCGCCATAGCTCTCCTCTCCAAGATGGATGCAGGTTAAGATCCTTTCTGGTAAGCCACCACCTCGTGGTGCTACACAGATTATTAGAAATGGGCTAATCAAGATGTGAGAATTAGCCAGTATGAGGCTAGAGCTAATGGGCCAAGCAGTGTTTAAAAGAATACAGTTTCCGTGTAATTATTTCAGGTAAAGCTAGCTGGGAGCCGAGCTGCAGGAAGCAGCCCACCGCTCCTATTACACCTCCCTGGTGCTGGGATTAAAGGTGTGAACCATCATCATCATTGCCTAGTTCTGTTTATCTTTTAGACTGGATCAATCTCAAGTAGCCCAGGGTGGCCTTGAGCTCACAGAGATCTGTTTGCCTCTTTCTCAGGAGCTCTGGGATTAAAGGTATGTGAAACCACTGCCTGGCTTCTGGTGGCTAACCTCTGCACTCTGATCTTCAGCCAAGCTTTATTTGTTAAAACACAAACAAAATATTACCACAGGAAGAGAGAGAAGAAAAGACAGATTTTGCTGGGCTGGCCAAATGGCTCAGTGTACCAGTAAGGAGTTTCTTGTGCCAGCCTGGTAACCTCAGTTCAATCCCAGGTCCCATGTAAAGCTGGAAAACAGACTGACTCCTAAAAGCCGTCCTCCAACACATGCACAGAGGCACAGAAGTCACACACATACATCATATGTACACATAATAATTTTTAAAATTAAAAAAATCTTAAATTAAAATGCTAATGTTTACATGTAAAGTATTAGAATTAGAAATAGGAAATTTCATTTTTCAAACACACCAATCTATATTAAAAAAAAAACAAAAACAAAAACTGCAGGCTAGAGAGAAGTCTCAGCAATTAAGAGCATTGGCTGTTCTTCAAGAGGACCAGGGTTCAGTTCCCAGCAATCACCAAGCACGTGATGCTCACAACTGTTTATAACTCCAGTTCCAGGGGATTCAACACCTTCATGCAGATACACATGCAGGCAAAACACCAAGGCACATAGCACATAAAATATAACCAAATAATTGGCAGGCAGTGGTAGTATATGCCTTTAATCCTAGCACTCAGGAAGCAGAGGCAGGTGGATCTCTGTGAGTTCAAGGCCAGCCTGGTCTACAGTGAGTTCTAAGACAACCAAAGCTACACAGAGAAACCCCGGTCTCGAAAAACCAAAAAATGAATGAATGAATGAATGAATAGTAATAATAATAAATAAAATAAATAATTTTAAAAATAAAAATTTAAAACTAAGCTAGAATTTTAAGCAACAGTACATTTTGCAGGTGTGGGGGCACATGTATTCTATCTGAGCATTCAGGAAGCAGAGACAGGTATGTCTCTTTGAGTTCAAGTTAAAGGCTATCCTAATCTACATAGCAAGTTCCCGGTTAGCAAAGGCTATATAGAGAGACCTTGTCTGAAAAAAAAAAAAGAGAGAGAGAGAGAAGAGAAGAAAAAAGAAAAGAAAAGAAAATGCATTTAAGGTAATGATAGGGAAGAAAAAACTGAAAATCACAAATAGGGTACTGGGAAGACACTCAGTGGATGTGCTTGCTGGGTAACATGAGGTCATGAGTTCAGGCCCCCAGAATGCACATAAAGACTGGTCACTGTTGACACATATCTGTAATCCCAATACAGAAACATGAAGATCCATGGGGCTTACAAGCCTGCTAGTCCAGCCAGTTAGTGAACTCTTAACTTTAGCGACCCTGCCTCAAAATACAAGGTGGAAAGCAATAGAGGGAGATACCACATGCTGACCTCTAGTCTCTGTGTGTATGCACACGCATGAACATTTAGGATAAAAATATATTTGTGATTGTTTTTTCTGAGACTCCTTAGCCCCGACTGCCTTGAACTCATGATCATCTTGCCTCTGCCTCTGTGGTTTTGAGATTACCTGCACTTAGCCTAAATTCACACTTCTTACAGCAATGATAATGAGCTAGTCAAAAGGAGATGTTTATTACTTTTGGTTGCAGGCAGATGAGTAGTGTGGAATTGTGTCAGGAAGCTGCGAAGTGGAGCCTATACCTGTTATAGATCAAAGATCTCAATCTTTGGTGAAACATTCCCAGCAGTTTTATCAAGAAACCAAACATCCCAGTGATAAGGAATACTAGCTAAATGAATGCCCATCAATAATAAATCTCCAGAAGATACACTGATTTTAACATTGATTTAGACAGAAACCATTGTAATATTGTAAATTTGTCAAGATGGTTCGTGAAACACAAATTCTGAACCCATGAGGAAAATGGAGCAGGATTAAGTACTCTCATCCCATTGGCCCCCAGTGCTCAGAACCTCAGAAAACCTCACAACTTGGGACATCTAAAAAAAAAAAAAAAAAAAAAAAAACTAAAGAAAGGTACAGTGGTCTTTACTCTGAGCACTCAGGAGGCAGAGGCAGATAGATATATCTCTGTGAGTTCATGGCCCACCTGCTCTATAAAGTGTGTTCCAGTCCAAAAAAGAAAGAAACCAAGAGCGAGCCAAGGCATGATGATGTACACCTATTGAAGTAATAAGGGCAGCGGCGGGGCTGCGTCCCCAACACCCCAGCCGCCTGCCCGGCTAGCTTATGCCCGAAATAACAACACACAAACTGTACTCATTTAATCACTGCTTGGCCCTTCTGCCCTAGCCCTTACTGGCTAATTATGATATCCCGATCAACCCATCTCTAATAATCGGTGAGCACCGGTCTTACCGGGAAGATTCTAGCCTAGTCCATCTTGGGTCGAGCTTCATGGCGTGTGTCTGCCTGGGAGCTGGGAGTATGGCGTCTCCCTGAGGCGTCTGCTCCCGAGAGCAGAGCGGTGGAGTCTCTGAGCTCACTTCCTCTTCCTCCCAGCATTTTGTTCTGTTTACTCCTCCCACCTATCCTCTAACCAATAAAATGGGCCAGGGCAGTGCCTTTATTAGCCAATGACCTTCCTCCATCACACCTATCATCCCAGAACTTGAGGGGTAGAGGCAGGAGGATCTCAAGTTTAGAAGCAGCCTTAGCTATGCAGCAGGTTAGAGGCCAGACTATACACCACGACAAAAACAAAAATGGGGGCTGGGGTACAAGGTGGCTCCGTGGGAAGAGTACTGCTGTGCAAACATTAGCACTAGTATCACACCACATAAACCTATAATCCCAATGCTATAACAGGGGTGTGTGGCAGAGCTAAGAGGTTCATTTGTTTGTCTGCCAGCCAATCTAGCCAGAATGGTGAGCTCGAGAGAGAGAGAGAGAGAGAGAAAATAAACAAGTTTTAAAAAGAAGCTTATGCATAAAATGAGTCCATATGATCAATCTAGAGTCCACATTGTAAGTGGATTGACTTGCTAAGCATGAAAGTCAAACTAAAGGATCCTACTATACATAAGGCCTTGGGTTTCATCCTCAAGGCTAGAGGGGCTAAAGTTGTTTGGTAAGTGGACTATTTAATTGACCAAGAGATCACCAGCAGTGACCTTACCAATAGGCTAGGAGCTACTTCAAGTACACTATCTGTAACTACAGGGCCATTCTCCTCACAGGGCTAGCTTGGCCACTGGACACTGCAGACATTCAAGTGCCAGGGACCTCTTCCTTTACCCACTCTACCCAAGGACAAGGATGGATACTGCTAGCATTCTCAGTTTCATTGCTGCTTCTGCTCTTTGGCTTCTTTGCACAGACCAAGTCCTGAGATAACTCACTTTATTTTTAAAGACAACTAACTATACATATAGTTAATATATTATATTATATTAAGTTATATGTATAGTTAGATGTCTTTAAACCAAGAAACTCAAAGATTCTAAGTTCCACTAAGCACTATCGTTGACCTGAGTCATCTTCAATTATCTCTACATGTCCCTCCAGAGATGGCACTTCCTCAGAGCCTCCAAATATGTCCAACAGCTCAGTCAAAACAGTTTCACTACTCTAATGGCTGGAATTCTGCTATTTCAAGGTTAGCCTAAACAAAACTCAGGTTCTTTGAAGCTATGAAGGAGGCTGGTTTCCTGTCGAGAAGGCCCCAGTGCCTCGGTGCTTTTGTAGTCTGTAACTTGTGTCTTTAAAAGACGCTATGTGGTGGTGGCAGTGGCAGAGTACACCATTAATCCCAGAACTCAAGAGGCAGAAGCAGGCAGATCTCTGTGAGCTTGAAGTCAGCCTGATCTATTGACAGCCAAGGCTACATAATAAAACCCTGTTTGGAGAAAAATCAAAGGAGAGGAGGAGAGGGGATGGGATGGGAGAGAAGAGGGACTGGTAAGAGGACCCAGATTTAATTTCCAGCACCCACATGGTGTCCAACAATCCTCTCTAAGTCCATTTCTGCTCTGTGAAAGCTTTAAGACTTAACACTTGAGGGGCTGGAGAGATGGCTCAGCAGTTAAGAACACTGGCTGCTCTTCCAGAGGACCCAGGCTCAATTTCTAGCACCCACATGACAGTTCACAACTGTCTAGTTCCAGGGGATCTGATATCTTTACACCAATGCACATAAAATGAATTTAAATAAAAATTATTTTTTTAAAAAAGACTCAATACTTGAGCCAGGTGATAGTGGCACAGGCCTTTAATCCCAGCACTTAGGAGGCAGAGGCTGGTGAATCACTGAATTCGAGGCCAGCCTGGACTAAAGATCAAGGTCCAGGATGGCTAGAGCTATACAGAGAAACCCTATCTCAGAGGAAAACAAAAAACAAAAAACACCCCCCAAAAACAAAAACAAACAAAACAGACTTAATACTTGGTTTCCCTTCTATAAACAGGAAACAAATTGACATATATCAAAGTACTTGACACACAGTCACTACTTTTTAAATGTCATTTTCTCACAAATAATCCCAGTCAAGTGCTGGAGAGACAGCTCACTAAGAGCACAGAGCTCTTCTGGAGCACCTGAGTTCAGATCCAAGCACCCGCACCAGGAGGCTTTCAAAAAGCCAGTAGCTCAAACTCCAGAAGAGCAGGCACCTTCTTCTGGCCTCCACGAGCACCTGCACTCATGTGCATATATCCACCCACACTCAAAACACACATACACATAATTAAAAGAAATAAACCGTTTTAGCTGGGTGGTGGTAGTACATGCTTTTAATTCCAGCATTAGGGAGGAAAAGGCAGGTGGATATCTGTGAGTTCAAGACCAGCCTGGTCTACAGAATGAGTTCCAGGACAGCCTCGGCTACACAGGTAGGGGGAGCAGGGGCCCAAACTAAACCAAACCAAAAAAAAAAAAAAAAAGGAATTTTGTTTTGTTTTTCTTTCCTTTTTGTTTTTCAAGACAGGGTTTCTCTGTGTAACAGCAATGGCTGTCCTAGAAGTCACTCTGCAGACCAGGCTGGCCTCACAGAGATCTGCCTGCCTCTGCCTCCCTCAGCACTGGGATTAAAGGAGTGAGCAACTACTGCCTGGCAAGAAATCTTTTAAAAACAATAAGAGTACCAGTCAAATTAGGGGGAAAATATTCTCATATACATGTTTAAAGACCTCCATGGTGACTTCCATACTGGCACAGTGACATCTGTCTAGTTTAGTGGGTCTCGCTTTGGGAAGGAACGGTAGGAATGGAATTCAGGGCCTTATGCATTCTGGGGCAAGTGTTCTATCACTGAGCTACACCTAAGTACTTCCTAATTAAGCTTCCTAATACACAAATTTCTGGGCCCCAGTCTCACAGTGTCAGGCAGTAGATAAAGGGAAGGCCCAGGAATCTGCATTTTAACGTGTATTCAAATGATGCTGTTGCAACTCAGAAGCTATACACTGAAACCTCAGATCCAAGTTCTTCACTAAACTGCCCTGTATCTACTCAGACTAGTCCCAGATATATATAAAATATTCAGATATTTGTTGACTGAGTGAAGCGTGAGGCAGTTTACTACACTGTTATCATACCAAAGAAAAAATTAGAAATCAATGTTCAAAATGAGGAGCTGGGCATAGTGACAGGCACTTGTACTCCCAGGCACTAGTTAGGCTGAGATAGGAGGATCCCCTGAGTCCAAGAGTTCAAGGCCAGCCTGAATAACATAGAAAGACCCCATCCCACTAAAAATAAAAAAGGAGAAGGGCAGAAATAGAGAAAGATTAAATAAATTACATAGTATACTAAATGGTCAACTACTAAGAAAGTATTAGTATTAGTAGAGAGAAGGAAAGAGACAAGCACATGGAGAAAGGAGGAGCAACACAGATGATGGTGAGGTGGGGCTGATAGATGTATAAAGATATCACAATGAATTCATTATCATATATTACTAGTATAAACTATTAACAAAGGGTGAAGAAGGAAAACCCAGTAAAATCATGTTCAGGCCAAACACGGTGGAGCACTCATTTAATCCCAGCACTCAGGAGGCAGAAACAGGCAGATGTCTGTGAGTGTGACACCAGCCTGGTCTACATAGCATGTTCCAAGCCAGTCAAGGCTACATTTAAAAAAAATTAATAATAACAATGCTACAGAAACAGTAAGTAAATAAAGAAAGGTAACAAAAAAGTTCTATGTGTATCTGAGCATACTATACTGATGTCTGAGGAACGGAAGGCCTTCAGAAAGAAAGAGCAGTCCCTTCGAAGAGAGTCTCTGCCTGTCTTTGAAGGCTTCTAAGAATGAAAAGGACTGCTGATTTCACCACCATTTCCGAAGGGATCCAGTTTCATACTGGACACATTCTTACTACCTTGGAGACCAGTGGCTTCATCAAAGAAGCTATTGAGTAGCTACAGAAGCTGGGAAGATGAGGTCATAGGACTAGAAGACTCAATGCCTATGTATGCCCATTCTGGTTAATAATAACTAATACTTCCTTACCATGTTTCTCACATGAAGAGAGAACAATCTTACTTTAAATCCATTACCAGAAATCTCTTCCTTCCCCCATTTATTTTGGAGACAGGATCTCACACTGCAGTCCAGGCAGTCCAGACTGGACTAGAACTCACTTGATAGCCTGCATTGACCTTAAAATTTAGCAATTCTCACCAGGCATGGTGGTACACACCTTTAATCCCAGCACTAGGGAGGCAGAGACAGGCGAATCTTTGTGAGTTCGAGGCCAACCTGGTCTACAAGAGCTAGTTCCAGGACAGGAACCAACGCTACAGAGAAACCCTGTCTCAAAACAAACAAACAAACAAAACCAAAAAAAAAAACCCCAAAAACCCTCAATTTAGGTGAGATTGATGAGACTGCAATATTAGATATGTATAATCTACCATCTTGATATACATGCCATTTACTACTATTCAATAGCTTATATAATATGTATATTTATACAACATATATGTATTGTTTCTGTGTAAAGCAACAAAAATGAGCAGTACACAAAGTTCTATTTGGCCAGAATGTAATACATTGTCCACAGTTATATAGCATAGGCATATACCTATGCATATATACAAATATAAACAAACACGAGGAGGAAAAACATTCAAATGTCTTTAGTTGCAAAACATGCTTCACATTCAAGAATATCATTCCTACAACTTAAGTACTTGCACAATACAAGGGACAGATTAAGATAAAGATTACTGGTTTACATGAAAAACAATTGTTTTCAGGTAATAAATTCTTTGAATTATACACACAAATGGGTTTTATGTATATACACACTGTATTAAATGTATGTGTGTATACATTAATGGTATTATTTTTGAGCTGAGAACTATGAAAATTCAAGATGGTTGGTTGAAGTTTGTTTAGAAAATATTTCAAAGTTGATTTAGTATAAGAAACACTACATAATCAAGTAGCATATAATTAAGAAAGCTGTACATATCAAAAACATATATAGTACAATGTTAACCAAATAAAACAATGTGCCTGCAAGTTGGTTGGTACATTTCTCAAAGCTTGTTTCATTTATTTATTTTTTTATTCTTTTTTTGTTTATTGGCGATAAACTCCAGTTTATTGGAGATAAAGCTCCACTTGCAGGTGACTGTGAGTGCTGGGATTAAAGCCACATGCCCCCACACCCAGTTCATAACTGGTGTGAGAAAGCACTACTGAGAGGTTTCTATAGACCTGACGTAAAGATGTGCATAGTGCTATAGCTTACCTGCCACGGGAGGAACAGCACCACAAAAGCGCACAGTTGCAAATTCCCCATTAACTTCAACTCTTCTACCAATGACGTCTAACGGCACAACATCACTCATTATAGGACAGCAGAAATCCAAAATACGAGATCTAGGGAGGAAAACATGACAAACTGACAAGAGCTTAATAAGCAACAATTGTAGCCTACACTGGCCTCAAGTGCTTAAACTTACAGCGAATGCTCCTGCCTCAATTGCTCGTGTGCTGGGATAACATATGCAAGCCACCACACCCAGCCAAAGTTTCCTTACAAATTATTTCCCCCTTAGGAATTGAAGAATGGTTTACTATGTAATACAACTGCAACAAACACTTGAAGACCTGAGTTTAGAGCCCCAGAAAAAATCAAGTGTGACAGTGTGCACTATAATTCCAAAGCTGGGAAGAGGAGACGAGAGAATTCTTGAGGTTTGCTGGTTAGCCAGTTTTGACAACTGGTGAGCTCCAGGTTTAGTGATCAATCCTGTCTCAAAAGGAGAGTGATGGAATAAGAGACACCGAGTAAACTGTGCACGCACACACACACACGACACTAAAGAACAATAGCTAGGCTGGAGTTGGTAACAGGCATGCCTAGCATTCATAAAGCAGAGTGGTTCATGCCTTTAATCCTAGCAGTCAGAGGCCAACCTGACAAAAAACTGAATAACTCAAATTTTAGGTGTGATAATATCATGGATACTATCCCTTAGTTTGCTTTTTCGTTAAGGCAGGATTATGTAACCCAGGCTAGCCTCAAACTCACCATAATAGGCCTTAAACTCCTGATTCTCCTGCCTCCACCTCTCAAGTGCTAGTATTACAGACATGACACTATGGCCAGCTTATTCTGGAGACAGGATCTCCCATACAATATACGCTAGTCTTGAAATCCTGATCCTCCCGCCCCAGCTCCCAACATGCTGAAATTACAAATATATGTTATGCCCAGCTTGGCTATTAACTTCTTTCAAATTTTGATCTTTTGGAAATAAACACTGAAATATTTAGAGTTTCAAAAGCAATGCTTTAGATATACTAGTAGCAGGCCAGGCAATCCATAGAATGATATAGGGAGAGTGACCAGAAGGTTGTGGATTTTATTAAGTTTAGAATCAACATTTGAGAAAATAACTAGACAGAAATGAAAACTAGAGCCGGGCGGTGGTGGCGCACGCCTTTAATCCCAGCACTCGGGAGGCAGAGGCAGGCGGATCTCTGTGAGTTCGAGACCAGCCTGGTCTACAAGAGCTAGTGCCAGGACAGGCTCCAAAGCCGCAGAGAAACCCTGTCTCGAAAAAAAAAAAAAAAAAGAAATGAAAACTAGAATTCTTGGTTGATTTTTGCCTTGGGTAGATAGTGGTACTCTAAAGCACTGCAACTTCTAAGACAAATGTAAAAGACCCTGTACTACAACGGAATCTTCAGCAATGAAAAGCAAAAGAAGTCATCACAGAGCCCAACACATGGTAAGTAAAAGCAGCATAGACAATTTGAGGAGACTGAGCAGGTACTAGGAACCAGCCTGAGCAACTCACGCTGTAGGAAACAGGTCCCAGAGAGGCCGAGGCAGAGCCCTGAGGCAAAGTTCTAGTCCCTGAGTAAGGTGCCAGTAGAGCTCCATTTCTAGAATTCCACAAGCTGGTGAGGAGCTATCTTCCCAGAAACTCACAGAGTCCTGCCATCAGTCTGGGACTGCTGAACCAAAGGGAATAGCCATTTAAAAATTGATAGCTAATATCAAATGTCCTTTTATAATGGTTGTTCCAATATATATAGTCCTATCAGGAATGAACCCTTGTATGCTAAACAATCTTGCCTTCACAGAACATCCACAAACTTTTAGCAGTCTATGTTTTTTGTTTGTTTATGGTGGGATCAAATCCAGGATGTGAGGCATGCTAAGCAAGGGTTCTACCACTGAGTGAGATCTGTAATACATGTATTTTAACTTATACCCAGTTATTAAAAAAACGGTAGCAAAGTCTTTGTAAACATTTTATACCCAGGGTGTGGCGGCTCACGCATGTAATCTCGGCACTCGGGAGGCTGAGGCTGGGCGTTTGCCACGAGTTCAAAGTCGTCCTGGGCTAAAATATGAGCTCCACATCCAGCAACGAACCCTTGTTTTAAAAATTTGCTAATTCATTCATTGCAAGCATGGTGGCTCGTCCATGTAATCCCTGAAATAGGGAGGCTAAAATGCACGAGGGCCTAACGCTAGTTCGAAGCCAGCCTCAGATACATAGTGGACCCAAGACGGCCTTAGGCTACAGAATGAGACCGTCTCTCAAAAAAAGGGGGGGGGGGGGCGCATCATTTAATCCCAGCACACGGGAGGCAGAGGCAGGTGGATATCTGTGAGTTCGAGGCCAGCCTGGTCTACAGAGCGAGTTCTAGGACAGGCTCCAAAGCTACAGAGAAACCGTCGGGGGGGAAGGGGGTGTGAATCTGAATACGGCCCACTGCCCCGCACCCACCGAAAAACCCGCAGCCCCCCAGAACCGTCAATAACAGAAGCCACTCTCCTCCACAATGGCAGCCAGTCAGGGCGTCGGGTGCCTGGCGGCGTCACCTCAGCCCAGCACCCAGAAGACGGTGACAGAGCGAGGGGCGCTTGGCGCAGGCGCACTAGCCTTCCGCCGGCTCAGCCCAGAACGCGGTCCCGCCAACCCGAGAGAAGTCTCGGAGCGGAAGGAACGCTGAGCCACCTTAGGCTGAAACGGCGATCCCGTTGGCAACTTGCCACCTCAGCTCCACGACCTGAAAAAGCTCACCTGCCCTCAGCCCGTGGGTCTGCACCGCGAGCCCCTCCCGGTGCCTCGGCCACGAAGTTTCCGGCTCTGGGCGGAAGCGCTTAGAGACCGGAAGTCCCACATCCGCAGAGGAAGTGATGGCGGGAAACCAGTTTTAACGCGCCCAAACTCCAACTTTATCCTGGTGAGGTGCTGTTCAGGTGGACGAAACCCCGGACAAAGGGACCAACATAATTTCCCGTACTGTAGCTGATCCAGGACAGCCAAAACGAGTGCTAAAAGTTCATAGCTGGGCGTGGTGGATCACGCCTACTACAATCAACACTCAGAAGTGAGGCAGGAGAGTTGAGGCCAATTCTGGGTGGGGGTAGCCTTAGCCGCATAACAAGACCCTGTCTAAAATACAAAAATGTTTCCTGATTTGGGGGAGTCTGCCACAATAGGGAGTTCATGTGGACAAAAGTGTAGTGCTGATCCCTCCAGAACTGGAAAGAAAAGGTTAAGCAGCTAAGGCATGAGGCAGAATCAAGAGTAAATGCAATGTTTTAAACTGAAAAGCCACCACTACAAACAAGTAGTTCCTATGAATCGGGTTTTTTTTAAAAAAAAAACAAAAAACAAAAAAAAAACTTGGTTTTTTCATTGAAAACCAAGTAAGATGCTATGCACATAATCTAATCATGGCCTCTCACAGACTTAGGCTCAGTATACCTGGGGCTGGGCAGGAGCCGAGTGGAAGAGGATGTCCTCTTTTCTAATTGGTGCTACCTTTTGAGCTATCGCTATCGTAATCAGCAACCGCAACTCTGCGGCTACCAACTCTTCCAAAGCTACAAAGGGAATTTACCGAAATCTCCATCCTCCTAAAAGAACTCAAGATTTCAAAGGTTGGCGTAGAATCCTGCTTCCCAGAGAAGCTGAATAGCAAGCAGCTCATCTAGCTCAAAGCCTCCTCACATCTCCCAAGAAGTTCTTGTCTCCTCGCCCCTCCTTAAAAAACCCTTCTCCTTACACAGAAAAATCCTGTCTCTAAAAAAAAAAAAAAAAAATCCTTTCTCTGCCTGGCTTCTCCCTACAACTTCCTGTCAGCTAGTTGCTGACTCAACCTCCTGACTGCAGGTAAATTTTATTCAGTCAAACACATCTTTGCAGCATTAAGCAAATGTTCCAGAGCATAAACAAAAGTAGCACACCCGAAAATAATATTCTATAACAGAAGAGCTCTGGCTTTGCAGGATCTAAGACAAATCAGTTTGATCAGTAACACTACAAAAGACAATAATGAAAGAAAGCTGTAACCAACCAAAGGAGAACGATGTAACTGTCTGGCAGATGGCATGCATGACAAACCTATTTTATTGCTCAGCATCAAGAAATATCCTGTAGTGAATCTGCTGTAAGTGATTCACTAAAGATAAAACGAGCTTTCCTGTTTGAAATCTTTTCAGTAGGACTAGAACATCCCACTCTTGTCTCAATTCTCCAATAGAAATATAGACCTTCAGATAAGAGGTTTCAGGGATAACACTCCCCTAAGGTGGTGGTGCTGTTTGCCCTGAGACAAGGACTCATGTATCCTAGGCTGGCTTTAAAGTCATATAGTCAAGATTGGCTTTGAACTCTGGAATATCTTGCCTCTATCTCCCAAGTGCTAAAAATCACAAGCTTGCACTACATTTATTTTATCTCCACACTTTTCAAGGAATTGTTGATACAAAACATCTGCTCAAAAAGAGATAAAGAGAGTCGGGCGGTGGTGGCACATGCCTTTAATCCCAGCACTCAGGAGGCAGAGGCAGGTGGATCTCTGTGAGTTCGAGGCCAGCCTAGTCTACAAAGGGAGTTCCAGGACAGGCTCCAAAACTACAGAGAAACCCTGTCTCAAAAAGAGAGAGAGAGAGAGAGAGAGAGAGAGAGATAAAGAGATTATTCTGAGCCAAATTTAAGTGACTTTGTCCCAGAAACACTGAGTTTACCCTGAATGACATGTTACCATGAAAGAAATCTCTTCAATCACTTGAATTTTTAGTCTCTCTTTCTCTCACACACACATACAGTCATACATAAGAACACTTTCAAAATGAATTGGGAACACAGAGTAGCAGATTACAGCAAAAATGGGTCAATCATTTCAGTTTCAGAAGTCCTGTGATTTTAGCTTTATGGTTGGTAGAAGCTAGTGGTCTGCTAAGCTTAACAATGCATTCCAAATACTGACCTAACAGTCACCAAGATGTTAAATCAAATTGGCATCAAACTCATGATAATCTCTCTGCTTCCACCTCCCAAGTAATAGAATTACAGCCGTGAGCCACCACACCCAGCCAAAATTGGACTTTTAGTTACCATTTGCAAATGTTTCTTAAAATTGTGCACATTTAAGTATACTTCTCAACTGAACATGAACAAATATTGGCTGTTTGACACCACAAAAGGCACCACAAAGATCTACTACTAAAAAAGAATAGGATAAATTTAGAGGTATTTTAGATAGCCTTACAAGGGGTTGGGCAGCATTGAAAATTTGCTCAAATGTCCATCTTTCTTCCCTTTGACTTCTCCCATAGAAGGGTGTACCAAGGGTAGCTTCAAGACATTATAAGCCCCTTCTAGGCATTCATTTATGATAAGCTCGATTCCTCATAATATTTTGTCCCAAAATATTTTGAGATTGTTTGGTATTTGGCTCTTGTCTATTTTGTTTATTGTTATCTCAATAGGGTAACTGGTGTTATTCACACTGTCTTTTGAAGATTTCTCCCAAAGTTTCTCTGGTACTTGTGAAAGGAGGCTCTCCATGTCTTGCCTGTTTTATAGGAATAGAAAGATGATTGGAGGTTTTCCATATGTCATGTTCAACAAGATTATTGCTCTTGTAAAAGAAGGAAGCCTGGTGTGCTCTCAAAAGTCATGTCCCAATAAATGAACGGGGTGCTGTACACCTTCAGAAAGTATAATACCCCAAACTTTTAAAAATATATGTAGGCTTGTGAGAGAAAAGGAAAAGGGTAGATAAAGTCCTTAAAAAAATCAAGTAAAAAAAAGTATAACAAGCCATGTAAAGATGGAAAATACACAGAGTCTGGATTATTGTTTTATTTTTAGATTTTTTACTGTTAATGAGCAAATAACTTCTGAGAGAGCTTCAATTATGAAAACTGCTATATTAATCCAATGTATATGTTTTAAAAATATCTTGACTTCAAAATTTAAGTCAAAATATATGTTACTTTTGGAAGGAGGTTCTGCTTTTATTTCCAAAAGAAATGAGAGGCTGTGGATTCATTCTGAGTTAAGAAAAATCAGGTTTGATGGAGGAAGACCCTCCCCCCGAAAAATCTCTCATGGGAGTAGATGATCTAGATGATCCAACATCTCAGAGTGCCTCTGCTGAAGTTTCCTCTGAGGTCTACATCCAGAACAGTTTCAAGGTTGCTGGCTGAGATGACAGAGCCTCACAGAATACTTCAGTCAGGACTTGACCATAATCCTGAATTTTCTAAGGGTCCTTCAAAGATTACCAGTGGCCCCAATCAGTAAGTAGTAGTCTAGAGGACTACTCCCACATTCCCAAAAAATAAATCATGAATGTTTGTCATCGTTTAGGGGGTTAGTTACAAGTTGTTATGGATAATGGTCAGGAAAAAAGACAAACAAAGAAGTTAAATTCAAAGATCTCCTTCTAAAGGAAAAAAAGGGGATAGAATACATAAATGATAGGATAACGGGTTGATTACTGAATCTATTATAATCCAAAAAACAACTATTAATCTTACATATTTTATATTGTTGGACTAGAAGTCCAAACATAAGAGAGTAGTTTCTCCAGACATCACTCACACAACCACAATTGATGAAAAAGCAAGAGGATTTTTATTCTGTC